AACAGAGGGAAGCCCTCATGAAATGCAATGAAATATAACAAACAAACAATTTACAAAATAATCAAACTAACACACACATATAAGAAAAATCAAATAAGAAACTGTTATGAAATACACAATTTTCAAAATAGGTAAAAATTATGAATTCATATAGTATTGGCATCATTCATATTATACCTTAACAATATTTAAAGTTTAAGTAAGTGAGAAAATTATTATGCATATAAAATTACACAGCTTCTTTATATTCCAACAAGTAATTTTTCAAATCTGTTTTGAATGAGCTTGTACTTGAGGTTGATTATTTCAGGGATATTAATTTATTCCATAAAATAGATCCTGAATATATAAAAGATTTCTTATACAGCTCTGTTTTGGCTTTTGGAACTTGTAATTTGAATAAGGTTAGATTGTCTGTCCACAAGGTGTTGGTCATTATTTTGTATGCTGAGATGAATATGCAAGAGGTGTTGGTATTATTTTGTGAGTGCTGCTCGTAGTACCGTACTCCAGTTCTTCATAATTTGCTTAGGCCTTAATGTCAGATGCAAAGTTTGCAGTAATATTGTATAGCTCATTGGTGCCAAAGAACTGTGAGTTTATTTATTTTTGTGGATGCAAATCTATATGGATACTTGATTTCGTAGTTTTGACTAATTCAGCATACAATTTAAAGCCTTTAAGAAAAAAGTGAAATAACAAAAATAACGAACTCAAAGGAAAATTCAAAACGAAAAGTCCCTTATCAAATGGCAAAATCAAAAGCTCAAACACATCAAACGAATGGAAAACAACTGTCATATTCCTGACTTGGTACAGGCATTTCCTTATGTAGGAAATGGTGGATTTAACCTGGTTTTATAGCTAGCTAAACCTCTCACTTGTATGACAGTCGCATAAAATTCCAAAGAAAGGACAAGGTTTTCTTTATCCAAAATATGGCTTTGAAATTCAACCTTATCATAAAAATATTGAAATATGGGTCATAAAAGCATAAATGCTAGGTAAGTTTTTTCAAAGTCATTACATTTAAGAGATATTGTCAGTGAGTTTGTGCATTATTCAGGCCCAAAAGCTTCAGAAAAGCCATGGCTGCAACCTATGATCCAAAATGTTTTTAGACCAAAAGGTGCCATGGTTGATATTTAATCCCTAAAAACAACAATTTTCAGGATCAGAGGTTTCTGCCAAAGTAACTATGTTGAGAATTGTTATAAATTATGGGAAAATTGGATCAAATGACATAACAACTCAAGTAATGCATTTTTAAATGGTCTAAACTTTGTAATTTATAATGTTATGTGCCAAAAATCAATAGTTATATCACAACTATTTATATTTAAAATTGTAGTATTTCATTGAGATTAAAAAAAAAACTAATATATTGGGTTGTGAAACTACTCCTGTGTATTTTGTTTAAAAACTAAGATTTATGGTTGAACTATTGTTTACTCAGAGAATTCTTCTTTTGAACAACCTGATCAAGCTTAGATAATAATGTAGGAATACTATAAGGAAAGATTTACAAAGATTCTTTATTTCATGAGGTTAGATAAGGTGATGGGAATATTAGATTCGTACATCAGCAAAATTTAGTTGCAAGTGTCTACAATGAACTGCAAGTGAATAAAAAATATTTTAATTTTGAAACTACCTGACCATGCTGAATTGTCTCAACACTGATTCTTTATTTTATGAAGATGAAAATATTTGATTCTAATTATCTGATTTTCATAAAGGATCAGTTGTTTTAAAATATTGTATTAATAATTTGAAAGACCTTGCACAAAGATTTCTGATTTGCCTATTATTAAACAGGTCTGCAAACTGAAAATTCTGTTGAACCTAAAAACAATGCCTTTACTATTTCTTCAGGGTAAGAATTAATGAATGCATGAGAGTTATTCTTTTTGAGCCTTGTGTTTTTTTTTGGAGGAAGTATATCTGCTAACCATTGATATTTTTATGATTTACCAAGTTATCATTTAAACAAGAAACATTCATGCATTAAAAAGTACAAATTTGTAAAACAATTTGATGTTCAGTGCTATTGTTTATTGACTACTTAAATTACATACTTTAAATTGATGTTTGACAGGTGTAAATATTTATCATGTGGGAGTTACTGATTTATGAATGGGTTGAAACTTGTTTTTCCACATGATATAAACTAATGTATCAAAGATTCTTAAGCCATTGTCAATGTCAAGCAGGTATTAATGTTATATTGTTTGTTTTTTTGTTGTTAAGTAACATGATACATCAGCTCTGTAACAATGGTATAGTGGCTGCAATGTAGTTGCAGGAAATGTTAGACTTTTAGTTGTTAATGTGCCTATTAATGTCAAGTTTGTAGGCTTTCTATCAGTTTTTAAGGACCATTGAGCTACTGCCATCCCTTGACATATTCGACTTGTGAGTTTGAATTTCCCTTTGATATCTTTCGCCTCTCTTTTATATGATTATAAATCTTTCATGACTAGGTCATTTGAAACCTAGCTAGGTATACCAGTGCCAAAAATAGAAGAAGTTCTAGCAAAGTCTTCTATCAAGGTCACATATACCACATTTCAGTGTATCACTCCTACTAACTTTTATTAACATTTCCATCTAACTTTACATAAATTCATTTTATGTCAAAGTTAAGTTCTCAGATACCAATAGACCAAAACATGCGATAGGGATGCATATAAGAGAGTTTATTTACAAAATTACTAAAAGTTGATCACCTTTACCTAGAAATCATGCTTTCTTTACTTAACATCCAAGATCTATTGATCAAAACTATTCAAGTAACACGGTAATGGAATTCATCAAAGGGAGTTTGTCAGGTGTTCATACAAAAAAGACATTAAATTACTTGCAATTAATGCTTCATTTACTTTTTTATAAACTGTGTCCTCCATCATATCATAGCAACTATGCTTACTTTGTAGGGTACTGAACATTCAATAAGCTAGTTATTATGCTCCGGCTCTAGGGGTATACCGTGTATGAATCACTTTGTCTGTCTGTCTGTATGACTGTTGGTTCATTCCTCTGTTCATCCTCCTTCTTTCTGTTTGTGCAAGTTGTATCAAGTTCAAAACTTTTGATTCCCACGAAGGATATTTATGATATTGATACTATTGTTGCCAACCACTAGAGGGTGTGTCATAAAATTAGGTTGGATTTATATACCCAGCATTGATAACTTTGAGTTGTAGCTATTATATAAGTCCTTCTAATTTACTTAAGACTTCCTTCCCATTGTCTGTTGTCGTGAATAAACGACAGTTTTTTAATAGAAAACACTAGAATATTGAATAGTTGTAATACCTAGATGCACTTAAGATCAGTTAAAAACAGAATTTGTTGTCATTTTTTGTTTCTGTCAGTTATTGTTTATTTTCTCAGTTATCTTGTCTGTCAGAATTTAACTGTGGAAGAAACACTGTACATATTGGAACCGGTTCACTCTTGGGATTTTGGTGAGACTTTTAACAGTGATGTTTAATTGTGTTCAAAATCTCCAGGAAGCATCATTTATTTGTAAGTGAGTGTTTTTTCCACTTATTTCTTCTGGTACTAATAATAGAGTAAAAAAAGTTTTAAGATAAATACGCTAAAAAGTTTGTGAAGATAAGGGACCTAAAGGTTGACCTTTAAGAGAAGTATTATGCTGTTCCGAGGACTTTATTATCTTCTCTTCATAGTTTTTATATTTATTTTGTCAAAATAAAAAAAAGAATATGCGATAATAAAATATTTTTTCCGTGTAATGTTTGGGATCCAGTTTTATGTGGTTTGATAATTGCTTGTTGTGAAATACCTGATGCTGTTTCTAGTCCTTCCAACAGTCTGAAGGGTAAAAAGTAAGATGTAAACAATGCTCTCAGATAGCATTGATTAGAAATAAAAACATTGGTAAACAAGTATGTTTGAAATTGACACCTGTTAATTGAAATTGATTGGATGTTATGAATATGTAATTTTCGTCAGCCAGGTAATAATCAATCATTACATGTCAAACATGTCTTACCTGTTAAGGATAATAAGGAACCAAATCTGAGGTTTGTCTTATTTTTATATTTTTTGCCAAATTGAGAAAAATATATAAGCAATGCTTAAGCTCAGAACTTTGTTTAATCTATGAAACTTTCAGAATGGTCATAGATTTAAAAATTGAATTCTCTTGCAGTAAAATTTCTTCTCCTCATTTATAATAGACAATATTGAGATTAATGCCTTGATAGTCTTATCTATTTATAGATATATACTGAAATCATGGAATGTATTTTTTCATTGTGTTTGAAAATCACTGCCCAACAATAGAAGACCAATGAAACAAGTGTCAGGCTAATGAAAACTAATTGGTAGGAATGTCATGAATGTCATGAATGTGTATTTTATGCCTCAATTAAATGTGTATATTTTTTACTTGGGCTACAAGTGGATGTACACAAGGGATCATTTCCATCTAATAATGGTCACAAACAGTTTTGAATTATAACTTTCTTCTGTTATTCTGAATAGGTATGAAATATTTGCCATTGGACATTCAGCAATGGCCAATCAGTTCATTAACATTTTCAGCCTTTGGAAAATTTTTATGAAGAAGAGCAGCCTGTCTCGTCTTTGCTTTTTTGTTCAAAATGGCAAATTTTAGAATATGATTTAATCTTTCTGATCTTGACTGTCATTTTTTTGGCAAGATATACAAGGTAGTAAGCTTTTTCTAGTAACTTGATATATTTTGAATTGTATGTTGAAAGTTAGAAAAGATATTTTCTCTGTATATTTTGATCACCATTTGTTATCCTGCAGCAGTTCCGAATTAAAAGTGATGTGACAGAGTATTTTATGAGAGTAAAATTATGTGAAGTAGTTATGTAGATATTCATGGGGATGGACAATCTTACATTTGTACTATTTCTCCTCATTTCTATATTTGCAGTTATCATTACTTTTAAAATTATTTTACCGTATATGAATATTAACAGATTTCTTTGTTCCTGTAGGATGTTGTCAACCAGAGTGTACGAGTAATTTGCCCAAATCAATGCCTGCTGAGGAGGTCATGCCGGTTATTCAGTCTAACATAGATTATATGGAGGAGGATAAGCCACTTATTCCAGGAGTCACTGTTAGAGCTGCAACTGCAGATAAATTGGTCCATATTTGTATTGAGAGCTTTTGTAAGTTTTGTATGTGATACATTGTTTGTATTGTGATGGCAGACAAACAATTCATTCATAAGAAGTCTGAAATTATTGGGAGTGCAAATAGCTACTAGACTTGAATAAATTCTACTCTTATGATCCCTTTAAAGAATTATGGTTCATCAACGGAACTAAATTCAATTATGGCAGCACCATTACTCAAATGTTCAAACTTAAACTGAAAAATTCTAACATCACCCAAATGACATATTGTAACCAAAGTTAGGGGTATCTCCTTTACAAATCATGGTTGATAACCTCGCCTGCCATCTTACACAGACATTTACTGTTTCTGAAGTAGAAAATCTGTCTAATGACTTTTAAAAAAATGCTAAAATATATGAAAAATGAGAACAAATTGGTAACAGATCTCCTCCAAACCATGATTGATGACCCTGACTATCATCTAACATGACTGCCACTAGAAAATTTGACAAAAGTAAAAAAAAAAAGTATGAAAACATTCAAAGGATTATGTACCGCCAAATTATAGTGAAATGTTACAATCCCCCTTTAGAATTATGATTGATAGCTTTAACTACCAAAAATTAAACATGAAATGCATGATTGCTAAATTGAAAAAAAGGGGGTTGGAATCAAACAGTAGTGTCAGTATATCATAAGCTTGCTATTACAATTTTTTTCTGAAATGGCTTTAGGTTAGAATTGCTCTTTCAGAGTTATATCTAATGTCAAAAGTCAAAACAAATATACTCAATCCTTTCAAATTTAGCTTTCTTTGTATACACACCATTTTTTTTCAAAAGATCTTAATCATCTGCTTTAAACAAACTAATAATTCTATTTTAGGATTGTTATATAACATTTTGAAAGCAAAAAATCAGGCAACATAGGACAAACAAGGATAAAATGATGCTTATCTTCTTTTACATGCAAATTGTAAATTTTACACAATCTGTTTCCTCTTCATTGATTTTCATGTTTAGATAAACAGATAATAGGTCTTATAGTAACACTTATGGTTTTAGTACTAACTTGACAGCTTTACAATTTATGCTATAATAAGAAACTTGATTGTGGGAGACTGGTGTAGGCTACTTGATCCCTTCAAATTAAAATTGCTGTAGAGAAAGAAGGTTTATTAATATGGCATTTCATGATTTACATGTATAAAATGTCTTTTAAAGATTTTGCTAACATTTTTTACAACTGTATAAAAACTGTATTATGGGAACAGGATTTCATGAAAATTATATTTTGAGTCCACATGTTGGAGTACATGTACAAAGTCAGGAACCTTGATAGTGGTTGTTTTTGTTTATAATGGTTTTATGTCTTTTTGGAAAATTTGTTTTGATATCAGATTTTGGTATCTTTGTCGAAAGTATCACAACTTTTTTTAACTCTTGGGACAATTTTGAACTTAAGCTTTTGTTAATGGTTAGTTGTCTCATTGGCAATCATACCACATCTCCTTATTTTTGAAATTGGTATAGACATATCTATTGTTGAAGACTGTATGTTGATGTCTATGATTTGGGTTTTGTTTTCAGGATGCTGTCTTATTTGATGATCAGAAAATGGTTGCCAAATATTTTGATTTTAGAGGTCTTTATCAAGGGATGTAGTGTACAACAAATATAAATGTTTAGACAACGTGGACATTACATTCCCAAGTCAAATTCACTTATATTAAAACTGTAGGAGACATTATATTATCCACCCTTTTTACAATAAATAAAGATGTCATAATGCTTAAATAATTTGTTTATGTCTGCATCAGTGTTTAAGTGTTTATGACATACAATGTATAATGAAAGTACATGTATATCCCAGGACTTTACAAGTGTACACTTTATAGCTAATTACTGTTCTGTCCTAATGCACTATGGATGGGTGTTTTTTTTTTAATTTTTTGTTCACTCTTTAACTTAACATAGAACTTTCTGGTAAAAATATCGGGCCACCATTTCCTGTTGTTTTGATTTTATTGTTATGTCATGTTTAAAGTTTTTAGTTTAACTTATTAGTGGTGGTTTAACCACAGACTTTTTCCTTATTATTTACTTTCTATCCATAGTGGTTTTACCACACACCCTTTCCTTATTTTTTTATATAATTTGGTAAATATATACTATTTCTTTGATGTGTTCACAAACTAGTGTTTTGTTATTATAACATTTTTTCTACATTCCCTTGAACTCTGATGGAACATGTTCAAGCTGAAACCTCATTATGTTCATTTTTATCAGTTGAATCAACTTATAAAGTCTTGAGATATATATATATATAATAATATATAATGCAATAAAAAAATGCTATAAATACTTTGACCCAGATTTAGACAGTAATAGTAAATTGTTTAATAATATATTTAATATTTCAACAAATTCTAGATTAGATTTTTTAATTTTACTATGTTAATTTGAAATTTATATAGCAACCAGGATGTACCGGTATCTACATTATTTTAGGTTACTAAGATGAATATTTTTCTTTAAAAAATCTTAATAAAGTCCTGAAAGATTCATGTACTTTTAATATATGTTTAAATTACTTGAAGACTGATGCAGACATTAAGAAGTTATTTTAGCATTATGACATCTTTATTTATTGTAAAATGGTGGATAATATAATGTCTCCTACAGTTTTTATATGTGAACAGAAAGTTATTACTTTTGTCTGTTTATATCATTATTTTATAAAGAATATTACAATCGTGCATGATTTCGGAAGAAAGACCTGGCTTGAAATATTTGTTCCAAGCCAAAGATGGCTAGGTTGCTGGTGAAAACAAATGACCTGGTAATTTTCCAGCATTGTGTGTTAAAAAGTCTATTCTGGTAAAAAGGCTAAACAAATGACCAGATAACTCCAGCACTTTATGTAAAAAAAAAATCTCCATGGAATGAATTTGAATGAAATTTTCAAAAGATTCTTTATACTATTAATTTGCCATCTTGCCCATTTTACATATTCTTGTCTTTGTCTGGTTCCCATCGAAAAGAAATGGACGTTTATCTTATGATGGAAGAATTTCTGATGTGCAGCAAGCAATGGTCCAATCATATTCAAAATTCAATTTCTGATATAAATATGAACCTTTCTTTGTACCAGACTGACACGCTGAGTCGATTTTGAAGCGGCTATCTCATAAGGTGAAAATCTCAATGAAGACTAGAAAGAAATGTGTCACGCCACCTGGACAGCCTTTACTGACCACTCCACTCACTCCTAAATGCCATTTGCTTGGCGTGAAAGCATCAAAAAGCAATTTTAAAGTTTTGGTGTGTTGTTTACATCTTCAAGTTAATTATCCTTAAGCCAAACCAAGTTGGGTTAAAATGATATGATAACTGCATAATGCTGAAAACACTGTATTTAACTTCAACCAGTCATGCTGTATGTAACATTATAGTTCTCTATTTTTGTACTTTGGTAACTTCTGAGATAATAGTATATTTATCATACCAGGTAATTTACCTTTTGTACTTTGGTAACTTCTGAGATAATAGTATATTTATCATACCAGGTAATTTACCTTTTGTACTTTGGTAACTTCTGAGATAATAGTATATTTATCATACCAGGTAATTTACCACAATACAATCATTTCTCAGTATTTTTGAAATGTCATTGCAGTTCAATGCAAAAAATCTATGTTTGTAAAATCAATATACACATCTTTTGTACTAAATATCTAGTAAAACAGTTCACACGTTTTGTTCCATTGTTGCAAAATATTTGATATTGTAAATCAGTTGATGAAGGCAGTTCTCAATCTTCCCGCTGAACCACAGGCCCAGCAGCCCAGGCTTGTAAAATCCCTTTCGGGCCTGTAAAAAGCATCCCTACAGGCCAACAGAATCCAACTAAAATTTTCCAAAAATTAAGCTCCAGGCCTGCAGAACTAAAAGTTTATCATGAAGACTGCAATCTTCATTAAAATAAATTTTTTTTATATTTTCATTTTTACCCCTTTTTTATTTATATAATAAAACATGTAGTGTTTCCTTAAATCATTATTACAGCATGGATTCTAAATATAAAGAAGCTAGTAAAAAACATTATGGAAACCTTTCTTTGACAACAGTCAGTGTTTTAGTAGCAAATATTTTCTTCTTTATTTATATATCTGTATACTTAGATTCTGATTACATTGTATATGTTAGAAGAAAGAAATCTGTTTTAGGGATAGAGATAAAGAAAAGGATGACTTTGCTAATATTTTAACATCATATATTGTAATGTAGCAGGAAAAAAACATGGAAAAATGATTGCATGCTCATCTCCTAAATATGTTTTTATCTCTCACTGGATTTCTGTCATTATTTTATATAACATATGATTGTCTTACTTCAGGGCATTTCAACATCAAAAGCATATGCCTACCCTTCCATTGCACCTAATATCATTCCAAGTTTTTATGGATTGCTTAACTTCAGTCCCAATTTTTTTTTTTACATTTTAATTTTTGTTGGTATGCAGTTTACATCTGTACTAATCTTGTCTCTTCTTTTTGTACCATTTCATCTCTTTTTAGATGCGAGAGGGAGGGGTAGGGTAGGATGTGATGGGAGTTAAATTCCATTTTACCCTCTTCCATTTGAATTAATTTTTGAAATCAGATCTGATATAAAATGACATTGATTAGTGTGATATGTTTCACTGAAAGTATGTAGTGAAGTCTTTTTTCTTTATAATTTTTTAGAAAAAGAGTTGATTAAGGCACACAAGATTTAACATTGTACATTAATTATTACATTGTGTATATTTTCAGCCAAAGAAGGAGACTTGATAGAGGACACAGAATACCCTAATGTGATGTATCTGATGCATAAGTGGTTCATCTCCTCAGAAGATTTAGCAGAAACATTTATTGATCTGTATCCTTCGTTAGACATATTGTTAACCTGACAGCACACTTTTAGTTTCCACATCCTATTCATACTCTCTGCTAATTTTTTGAAATTTTTCCTTTTCAATTTCATTTGTAATTTTTTTTTCAGAAAGAAACTACAAATGCATGTTTTTTCAGAAAATTTAATCTGCATATTAAATTAAGAGTTTGTTGAAAAACATGTGAATTTTTAAAGTCATATGATTAAAATCATGGTCAAGGATAAGCTAGGTTCAACTACAGCAAATCATTAATTGGAAAAGCATCATTGGGGAATAGCTTGAAATAATGCTTTATGAATAAGCTAAACATAGACTAATATTAGGACTTCAGACATTGGGGAAAAGGAATAAGGATCACTGGCCTGGAAAAAGGGGATCCGATTGGGTTATTTTTCAATTGGTTTTACATGCTATATGAATTTGTGCTATAAAAAAGGAGGGTTCCCTTTGACTTCTGAAAAATCGTGAAAAAAGGTTTTATTATTATCTTGAAACTCAATTATGAATTAGTTATGATATTGACTTTAGTTAGTAAATAATATGAGATATTTCAATTAGAACTCTTCATCATTAGAGGCCTTTTGTAATACAAGGAGATGTGGGGTATACATTTAATAGACTGCAACCAGATAAACAAATAATCAAATCACATCTAGAGGCAACATTCAGAGGAATTAACCTGTTTTTCATCATAATAAATCTGCACTTTGTTAAGTTCTCCTATTCCACCTTCCATTTACAACAAGAGACATGAAAACAACTATACATGTCACTGTTACAGCCTAATAGTTTGATTATGATGGTTGCTATTGTGAAGTTCTCCTAATCCACCTTCTAACTACAATGTAACAGTTTGATAAGGGTTGTTCAGGACTGGATGGTAACTATTGTGAAGTTCTCCTAATCCACCTTCTTACTACAACGTAACAGTTTGATTAGGGTGGCTCAGGACTGGATGGTTACTATTCTGAAGTTCTCCTAATCCACTTTCTAACTATCACGTAACAGTTTAATTAGGGTGGCTCAGGACTGGGTGATTACTATTGTGAAGTTCTCCTAATCCACCTGTCAAATACAACCTAACAGTTTGATTAGGGTTGCTCAGGACTGGATGGTTACTATTCTGAAGTTCTCCTAATCCACCTTCTAATTACAACCTACCGGTAACAGTTTGATTAGGGTGGCTCAGGACTTGATGGTAACTATTCTGAAGTTCTCCTAATCCACCTTCTAAATACAACGTAACAGTTTGATTAGGGTGGCTCAGGACTGGAGGGTAACTATTGTGAAGTTCTCCTAATCCATGTTCTATCTACAACGTAACATTTTGGTTAGGGTTTATCAGGACTGGAGGGTTACTATTTTGAAGTTCAATTTACCAAATAATCTTTTATCCACTAGTATCATGTTTTTATTGATGTTATTTACATCTGATTTTGAATAACAATTCCTGCAATGAAGCCAGTCTATATACTTATAAACAGAATTAACAGACTGATGAATTTTTCACATTAATAGTTAATGTATGTCATGAAGAAATGAGAAAATTTATTGATGAAACATGATGACAGATTTATTGGCATTACAATGTTTTCAAAACTGACATTAAAGAACATTTTGAAATTAACAGTTAATTGAGTAATTGCAAGAATTCTGCCATTGTAAATAAAATGTAAAAAAAAAATACTTGTGGTTTTGATATGTCTGTTTTCTATTTGTATGTAATTCTTTAAAGTTTTTTTTAAAGCTATCTGCTTTTCTGCAGTTTACTGTTATAAAATGTAGAGAACAACATGTCATTTCACTTCTCTTAATTTGAAATGAAAATAATGTGTTTACATATGGTATAGATTTCCATTGTTTTCAAAGTGTATTCGTGCTGGTGCCTCATCAGACCCGCCATTACTTTCCCACTTTATGGGGGATATCCCCCATGGGAGGTGTTGACCTGACCCTTATAAAACTCAGTTATTTAGACTTAATACTTTAAAAAAGGCATTCAGAATAGTAAAAAATAACATATATGTCATAATTAAGTACACTAATGACATGTATAGGTAATCATAAGGTCCTCTAGTGCTTAAAATCCCCCATGGAGATTTTGAAAAGTTGGCAGATATGCCTCATATGGTCAGAAATTACACTTCTGGAAAAAGTTATACAACTCCTTTATTTTATTGGAATCCATTTTGCCAAATCTTTGAAATATTGGAATTACCTCAATATCTACATCAGTATCTGCATTCATGTGCATGTTTTCAGCCAGTTTTCAGAACTAATTGACCTAAAGCTATATAATTTTGGATATATGAATATGTCATGAAATGACTGACCATTTACCTTAGATAAATGATGCATAACTTGTATTTAAGGAATTACAGTGCTGTAGTTGAAGAGTTTCCACCATCAATAGGCAATTTGACTGTTGCAAATGCAGTAGTGGAGACAATAAAACAAATATTTGCTACCGTCAAATCAAAATTTACCTTGGCAACTCTTCAACTACAGTACTGTTGTTCTGATTCTATTGCATTACAAAAAGAAATAATATGTTAGAGCTTGAAAAAAATGTATAAATTTGAAATAAAATAAAATTCTGCGAAACTTAATGAATGATTTTGGCACATAGAGTTTAGGTTATTAATTAAGCTTGACGGAATTATATTGTTTTAGTCCTAGTTTTGTGTTAAGTGACCCTTAACATATAATTTGTCCATGCATAAATTTTTAGTGAAGGAGGACATTCAGACTTACATTTTATGCTTCATTGTATATATAAAGTTTGAGGTTTGAGTTCATTTCTCAGATACCATGTGTCTCACAATTATTTAACTTTGTGTTAAGATGCAACTGGGGGTATACAATAACCTTCACATTCTGATTTACATTTTATGCTCTTTTTACTTAAGTTCAGTTTTATGTTTGGAATTATTTCTCCAATACTAAGTGACCTACAATATTGCAACATGGTGCAAGGATGCATGTAGTTAGTATAACTGTGTTCAATAAGATTTGGTCACTGTAGCCTTTAGTATATAATTCATTTACTTAGATTACATACTTATAAAGGTAAAGATGCTAAGTGATAGTTCAGTTCTTGTCACTCTGAAATTAAGTTTTACTAAAAAAACTGAATGAATTATAATAGTTGGTTCATCAAACCAATTTAGAGCCAAGGTAGATAATTTTTTTTTTTTTTATTGTGAACTTATTGAAAAATGTTTTTTGAGACCGCAGCCTATTTGGAGCCTACAATGTATGCCTGAAGTTAAAATTTTCATGTTTGAATTTTATTAATATTGAAAAAATTAATCATAAATGACATTTATATCAAAATACCATATGTAAGGAATTCGATTGGTTGCTGAAGGGTGTGCATATTTTGGTTCATTACTAGAGGTTTACTAAAGGGCATGTATGTTCTAGTGCAATATGCTTTTATTTCTAATACATGAATTGTATTGCCCTTAACTATAACCAGCTACCAAAATTGTCACGAAACCATAGAATGTACTAAAGATGTGTGTGACCACCTGCCTTCGGATGCGGAATGTGAAATACAGATTTACAAGGCAAAAATCTGTTATGCTGTAAGGTATGGAAGAAATAAGAACTATATTTAGAAACACATGCAGATACTTATCCAAGAATAAGTACAGAAGCTTTTTTAAGGAGTTACAGACCTGTTTATATTGATTAGATTTGTCTGATGTTTAAAAAAAAATGCCAAAACAATTGATTCACCTCTTTGATTTTAGATATAGTATTTGGCATATAGGTCTATTGAAACAAATGAATATAAATAATACTGGAGCATTATCTAAGATTTTAAGATAGGATTCAGAATAGGTTGAGACAAGGTGTATTGTATTGATCAAAGTTATATATATAGGGTGCCTAAGGATATATACTGTGGTTTCATTATTGTATGTGAAGTCTCAAATTTCAAGGATCATCTTATGGAGACAAAAAGCCAAAAATTGAATGGATGAACAGCTATTTGTGTGTGTTTGTTTTGCACATTGTTGTTATTGTCTTGAAATAACAAATATTACACAAATGTTTCCCTAAAACATGTAAGTTTCCAAACAAGGAAGCCATCACTTCTGGCACATTACACTCGTAGTCTTTGAGACAGTTGTGGTTCTTTTTTTTTATCAATAAAGAGTTGTGACGATATCAAATAGTCTTCCAAATTTGTCTTTCTATCTCTTACGACAGATTTTACTTTACCCTTCTAAGTTAAGAATTAATTCTATACTTCGAACAACACATAATGAGACAACAAAACAGAAATCTGAAATACTCCTTACATTGGTGAAACCGTAAGGTCAATTCAAGAAGAAATTTTTTTTTATTCCCTCTTACATCTTACTCAGCAGTTCAATCTACCAGTTAGTAGCAAGCTAGAAAATTTCATAATCTTGTTTAGAATTTGAGCTCAATAATTGATTTTTTGTGTGAAGTAAAAAGGCTGAGTCTTGTTGTTATATTGACAATTCTAGATGGCTGTGTATCAGCGACAGATTAGACTTGATTGACGTCAAAATGCTATTGCGTTTTGTTAGATTTGCTCAAGTATTCTTTTACAAGGAAAATAATATCAATAAATTTTAAATATGCATTGACAAAATATCAATATTGCCCGTGTGAAAAACGACATTAATATATATTTTTATGTTGTAAAAACAATAGTGCAAATTAATGTGACAGACATTTAATAAAGGGACTTAATACAACCGAACAAAAGAAAACATGAAATATTGACTTTTAAGTAAAATGTACTTGTCACTTGTTGTTTTTTCCAAGCTCATTGTTGCGATTTCAATAAATTATATATTTCAATGGTGTTCACTTGCAAGGAAGATTCCACCTATGGGATATTAAACCATGGTTGAATAAAATATGATATATGCTCAGTGGAAAAAAGCAATCATAAATAATTCAAAAGTGGGAAGCAGACTGTGAATAAAAAATATATTATAAGGATTTTTTTTTATAAATTAGTCATTATTTCCACTCATGCTTATTTAACATTTTCTGCAAGTTTTCACATGAAAGCAACCTGAATTTAATCAGAATTACATCTAAGATTTAAATGAACAATTTTGAAGGTCAAATCTTGATGCTGCATGCATAGAGAGGACTATTGTACTCAGAATTATTCATAGCAGTTATAATTTTGCAGTACATGTTATACATATGTTACATGAAAAAAATAAGAAAATGTGAATTAAGTACTGCTTCAGAGTCTGCTTGTACTGAAACCTTAATCCAAATCAATGATAAAAAGTTTCCTGACATTTACCAAAATGAATTCTGCTTTCCCCTATTTAGCAGTGAATTCTTCAGTTTTAGCCAGAAACTGTGCAAAAAAAATGAATATAAAAAAAACAAAACAATGTCATTGAATTTTGTTATAGCGTACACATAATTTAGTCATGATCAAGTGAAATGGATCGATTTTACAATCATCGAAATTTTTCCAAATATTGATATAATCAATTCCTGTTTTTTTTTTTTATATAGATACTGGATAAGTCATTTTCCTGTACATTTTGACCTTGATAATAGGTTAAAAACTGTTGTGAAGAGATTAGGATCTCTTTTACTGTCTGAAGGAAACACCAGCTTTAAAGAACTCATTGATCTTTCAAAAGTGTAAGTATTACAAATGTTGAAAAGGATTGGATATATGATAGATGCTAATGAATTTGAAACATAATTTGAGAGGGGATGGGGACAGAACAAGAGCTCTGTAGTCCCAAAACTTAAATTGTGCTTCTAAAAACTTGTAAATTAGTACCCAGCTAATGACTTTTCTGTGCCAAATTTACACAAAGGTTTAAGAAATTACTGATTACTTGTATCCTTCCTTTCTTCTTGTTTCGGAAACTTATTAAAATAAAGTCTTTCAGTCTTTTTGATTTTTTTTGTCCCTGAGACAAATGGTTCAGAATGCAAAACATGGATGCTTATCTGGCAGTGAGAATGGTGACTTTTTCATCTGACTTGGTACACTTGATCTTGACTTCATTTTCATGGTTCAATAATCAAATGTAAAGTTTTTGTGATACTGACAGTGGGACCTTGATCTCAAAGACTTTCAATACATCAGTTACACACTCAAGACATTTAATGTATTGAAATATATTAAAATGACTATTAACAACTTTTGACAATTAGCCCAATGAAAGACACATGGAAGAAAAGAACCCAAATATTTGGTTAATTTACAGAATTCAACATCATGTTTATAAAAAGCACTAAGACATTGCTTATGTTACTATATCACATATGTGTCGCCAAAACAAGATTTAACCTATTCCTTAGTTTTGTGATAGGCTAAAATGATCTGGAAATTAGATGTTGACTAACTACCTAGACAAGTGAGCCACTACAACCCTTTAGACAAGATCATATTAAACACCTAACAGTATACAAAATAATCAGACCAGATATAAATGTAAGACAATCACAAATTTTCAGCGATTGGTAAAAATAATTATGTCAAACAGAATGTCAAGTTCATTTTGTCTTTCATGCAGTTTGATGTTTTCATATCCATGCTGGTTTTTTTTTTTTTTGCAGTCCCTCCTATGATTGGATGAGAAATATGTCAGTAAGAAGTTCTGCAATGCGACATAACCGTAAAGTTTCCTTGGTGTTTAATCATTTAGAACCGTTGGAATTAGCAGAACATTTGACATATCTGGAATACAAGGCTTTCAGGAGGATAAATGTAAGTCTGCTTATTCATTGTAATGTACCACAGTAGGGTTCTCACTTAGGATTTTTGAAGTGGAGTCCAGGGACTTTTTGGTCATGGCGAGTCCAACATTAAGATGAACTTTTATTATTTCAATCTCTATGATGAAATAAAGCAAGGAAATGACATATAATTTAGATTATTTTTAAACTTTTGTGATGAAATGATGATAAATCATATGCTTAGTTGAAACAGTATTTTAGTCTTGATGCATCTTCATACTCACCAGTTTTGAAAATGATGAGTCCAGCACTCATGGACTCACCTTAGTGAAAACCCTGCTACAAGACCCTTGTTAACAGTACAAGTCCATCTATCATTTATTAACAAATATAACACTATTACCATACAATAAAAGTAAAGTTAGATTTATATGTTTAAATAAAAAAAGGTGACAAAGCAAAACCAAGTATACTAATTTAAGATGGTTTCATTGAACTCTTACTGTCATTATTTACTCTTGTTTCAGTTAGTTTATCTGTATTACATCAATTATTTATACTATATTCATACAAGAAATATAGTAAATGATGAAAATTATGAATAATGATCAATGCTTTATTACTACCTCTTTGATGTATATAATATTTAGGGATTTGGTATCATTCTAGTGATGCATGTTGTACAACAGTTTCTGGTATTGGAAAACTCTGATGATCTCAACTAAAGGAATTACCATTGCTTTTATAATGTCAAATAACAATACACATGTGACTTGACGTCATTTATCTTACATTTGACATTTAAATTTTATGTAAAAATGTCTATTGTTATATCTTTGTGATGAAGATTATACTGACTGTTTGATCATTTTCGATGGCACACTTCACTGGTGTAAATAAATATTTGTTGGGTCAACAGCATAAAGTGATTGTTTGTCCTAATAAAAAGAGTCATTGATTAAATTATAGATTATGAAAGTGTATTAAGGTCACTGTCTCAAGTTTAATGTGTATATGGCTTCAAAATTTGCTGAAATTGACGTAAGTCACCTATTATTCGTCAGATAATCAAACAATTGGGCAATCAAGCATATATGTTTACAAAATGAATCCTTTACCTCAATAAGGAAGGTGTGCATAGAAATTGTCATTCTTTTGATATTGTCTTTTGTTCTGAAGTGTAAAATTATTGACCTATAACACAGATGGTAGGCTGTCACAGTCATATTTAATAGTTAAATCGTCCAATTTCCATTTAGGTGAAAAACAATATCTTTGATATGAATATTTCCCCACTACCTGGAGTAGGAGTATAAATGCTAAGTGTTTGTTCATTTCTATTGAATGCTTTAAGAACAACAAATTCTTCTTTACTGGTATTCAGTTTGTCTAGTCCAATGTCTGTGTGAGCTATTATCATCACTTGGTGTCTATCATCTGTTTACTTTTTTTCTCATTTTTGTTGACTCCTTTGAAATTGCAAGGCTTTTTATTAAAATCTTCATTTTGTTCCAATTGAACTAAAACATGGCTGACAGAGGCAATTATTGATTCTGATCGGTTAATTTTCAAATGGAAGGTCTTTTATATGAATATTTCATTGAACCTAATAGGAAATTTTTGCTAAAACCACAAGGCTAAATTCTGAACCAAATCGACCAGTTATAATGTAAATTTGGTAATTCCTTAAAACTGTCTTATTTGTTTTAATAGGATAAAATTTTTACTTTAAAAGCATTTTTCATTTTGGTTGGTCAATTTTCAAACTTCTTTGATGAACTCGAAGGTTCATAAACTTTATAAGATTGATAATAATGTGACCAATCACTGTGGATTCATTATTATTCGTGGGATACCAACTATTATGCATTTTGTGGGTACAGTAGAACCATGAGTTTAAATGTTTAACTTAATACAAATTTTTTATATGCTTTTATGCAGAATTTGGCAAAACCGTGATATCAAATATCCAGTAAAAGGCAAATTTTACTCAATCCACGAAAATCGGTACCCTCGAAAATAAATGAATCCACAATATATAGAAACACTGTTATACTGTGTACAATTGGCATATTTTGTGTCATTGATGCCATTCACATTCCCTTTAATCATACACAAAATCACATTTTCCTTCTTTTTCTGAACTATAACGGCTACCTAATCCTTGTAAAAAATATCAGAGAGGATGCATGCAAGATCTTCATAAAATCTTTCATGTCATTCTTATTGGGCATAATCATTTTTGCTGACAGATTTAAATATTGATTTTTTTAATGTTTGATGCCCTGCCTACAAAAGTATGTGGCATTATGTTTTAGGGTCTGTGTTTACATGCATTGCTTCTTCTGTCTGTTTGACAATTCATCCATCCCATTTAAAGTTTTGGTTGAAGGTTGTGTACCATGATGCTGTGGTCTCATCAACTTGAAACTTTGTACATATGTTCATTATTTCTTTTAAAAATATGCCAAATTAGGTTTTTGACCCAAATTTTTTCTTTCACTGTACATGAAAATGTGATAGTGTGAGTGAGGCATAGTGTCCTATAGACATATAATCTGGTTCTCATCTGAAATTTAAAAACTAAATCTTTCTAAACGTAATAGGAATAATGATTTTTAAACCCTCTAACATGCCTTATATTTTATTTGATCTGTGGTAATTTGGTCTCATAAGAAACGTCCCATGAACCCTATGGTAAATCATAGAAACTTAACCTTGCCATTCTGAACCTAAAATCAAGAATAATGCACTGCATAGAATTTTGTTACTTGCTTTCATGAACATTTCTCATTTTATATTAGACACCTGAAAAAATGGTTCTTCCAGCATAGCATGATCAGTTTCAAAATGCAAGAATTTTTTTTTGTAATGGATAGATAGGGGCAATTAATTGCTGCCTTATCTAAGGGAGATTGAATATGGAGCTGTAATAGGCTTGGAAAGTGCCAATCGTTGACAATGGGCATAGATGCAGGATGATACATACAAGTCTTTAGATATGAAAATAGGAAATTTCTTGTATGATTGCCAATGAGACATCTCTCCACCAGAGACCAAATGACATAGCTATGAGCAAAAACTATAGCGCAAAGAAAGCTATAAAAGGCCTCGAAATGACAATTGTAAAACAATTCAAACAAGAAAACTAATGGTCTGATTTATGTACAACGCATTAAAGGAAAAACAAATATGATATACAGCAACAAACAACAACCACTGAATTACAGGCTTCTCTTTGGGACAGGCACATACAGAATTTGGCGGGGTTAAACATGATTGCTGGCCCAAAATCCTCCCCCTAACCTTGGAAGGTGTAACCGGTACAACATTACAACAAACTATAAAAATCAGTTGAAAACAGTATTTTGTAGTGAAAATGCTTTAATGATATTTTTAATATGTTTCTTTGAATGTCATACAATCTTTAATAAACTACGTCAGTTTCTGTTATCACAACAACTAGAAAAGATCTTTACTTCCTGTTTGATGTGAAGATATAGGTTAGCTATGGTATATGACACTTTTTCACTTCAGGTCAATACTATTTGTGGAATACATGTAATATCGTCATTGGGTTCAACAAAACAAATGACAGGATAAAAGGGGTTTATTCTAACTTTCTCTTACCGTTGTAGCCTGTTATCTATTTCTTGCATGTAGAAGTATTTCTTGTATCACACTGCATGGAGTGTGATACGAAAACTGCATTAATTTGATTGGCTTATCTAGCATTATGAGACGATATTACTACATTTCCATTGGCTATTCATTAGGTCATTGATGACTTTTAAAGGTTAAGACCATGTACATTTCCTCTATGGCAACGGCATAACATATGTGATTTCTCCAATAATATACAAAACACTCACACTTTTCACCTGAAAATCTTCTTTTTGTCTATTTTATTACATTCTGAAGCATACACAACGTTTTAAAATGTCTGATGTTAAATGTTGACGCCGGAACAGAACACATGACCTCATACTGATATGTGCAAAAGACTAGATCAACGATTCGCTGAATTTTTTATTTAACACAACGAGAGTGTTGACCATAAGAGAAATAGGTTTAACAACTCGTTAGAATTGGATATCGCTTGATATCAGCTCTCGTTATTTAATTCAAATAGTAATAATAAACTTGCCACAGGTTTGTTTATTATTATATTGAAATTAAAAAACTCAAGTTAATATCAAGCGATATCCAATTGTCACTTGTTATGAAATCTTTAAATATTTTGTCAATGGAAATATTTTAGAGGAAGTGAGGTCCTAATGAAAATTATGCCACCTCGACCTACAATACATTTCAAGATGAAGAAGTTAGATTTAATTTTAAATTGCAGAAGTTTGGTCGGACTGACCTGTATTTCATGTACTAGAAACTCTGAATAAGTTTAAGATATGACATGATGTAGTTTTACTTTTGTTATTGGTCTATGACTTTCAGATTGCATATCAGTTCTTGCATTTTCCATAAAAGTTGCTGATATCAGTTGCTATTATAAAATGGAGTTCTTTAAAAAAACAATATTCAGTGCCCAGTAACACCGCCATTTAGACTTCAAAGGTCTCTTTAAACAGCATCAAATAAAACATTAGAAAAAAGTTCAAATATATTAAGTCAGCTTCATTGATGCACTGTATTTTAGTCACTAGCATGTTTAAACATCAATCCACAATGCAGGGATATAGTCCAGCTTAGTGGACAGTTTTCATTTTCCTAGATTTTGTTCATGTAGGTTAACTGATAATTCAACTGTTCAACTAAATACAAAAAGGCACATGTGCACTTTGTTAAAATTCAGGAAAATAGATATCAACAGAAATACAATGTTAACTCTATCCACAAGAATAAATATATCAACAATATTTCTTAAATTTCAGTTTACAGATTTCAAAAACTATGCAATCACAGCTTCATTGAAAGACAATGCCAAATTAGAGAGGTCCATAGCTTTGTTTAATGGTTTATCACAGTGGATACAGTGTATGGTCCTGAGTAAAACCACACCACAGCAACGAGCTGATGTCATTGTCAAGTTTGTTAATGTAGCAAAGGTTTGTAATTTAGACAAATAAGTTATATTAGGGGTACATTGTTATGAAAAAAGATGACAAATCAGACCACCCCTTAATAATGATACATTGTAATAACAATAATAATAATGATAATAATGATAATGTAATATTAGATGTTTGATGTGAGAAGGTATATTGTTTATAATTAAATGTAATAAAAAACGTAAATTCAGAAATTATTGTGAGCTTTTATTATTGCGAATTTTGAAGTGTGGACAAAAATGTGAGATTAATTATTTCAGATACCAGAATGTGAGTTCTTATTATTGCAATACTCACCCAGTCGCATTATTCCCAATAATAAAAACCTTGCAAAAGTTTCAGAATTTACAGTATGTAGAAGATAATGATTTAAACGGATAGAAGCTACGATTTTCATTAAAATTATTTTTCTAATCTATATGCCGGATTTTGTACAAAAGGTTTATTTAGAATGAATAAAACCATCACTGTTTACTTTCCATTTAGCATTTAGAAGCTTTTTAACGTTTTACACATGAATTTAATTTTTATCTATAGACAAAAATTCGATGTTAAGCCAACCCTTATTCATATGACTTATGTTGACCTTAACTCCGCAGTTCCCAATGCGCAATCGCAAGTTGTCCCTCAAAGGGAAAATGTCGAACAGAGGAATATTATCGCGGAAATGCAACGTGTGTTTACAGTTTCTGCGAGAAAAAGACACAGTAAAGAGGTGCAGTCAAGTTATTGTAAATTAAAAATAAATAACGGCGATGAGATCAGTCATTAGAATCATTTACAAACACCAGTCACGCAGATAAAGTCATTATATAAGCAGTCGACATTACAACGGTTTGCGAAATGTAAAAAACATTTCTGAACTTTTCGAATCCAGATCACATGAAAATAAATCGTGACGTGTTCAAATCATTATTGTCCAAAATATCTTTATAAATTTAAGAGCAGTGATCTGACAACTTAGAAGACATTAAAAATCAACTTCTTACAGTTTAATATTCTTCTTCTGGTGTACCCTGCATGAAGGCCCCAATTCAATGCACAAACACGTGTATACGTTATTAGCATTGTTTTGTCATACTAATATAAAACAAGTGTATAATATCGCCATTGTTGGAGAACCTTGGGTTCGAATAATATGCAGGCATTTGATATATTTTGTTGTTTACATAATTTGATAAATGGTTTCAAATATGTACGTTTAATCTAAAGAAATTGTCAAATACGTAAGAAAACAAAAGCACATGTTCATATTTATTTATATCTTGGTCATCTCACTCGCTGTGTCGGCAAAGTTCGGGAAGTAAACCCGATGCATAATTAATTAGATGAAAAGGCACGCTACACGATATTAATTATCAATTATTAACATTTCTGTACTTTATATAAACATTCCACCGATCTTATTGTTAATTTAAAGTACATATCTTTGATTTTAGCAGCTTTAAAACTTGGTAATTTTGTCAAAATCGTAGCTACTATCCCTTTAACTACATTTATTTCTCAATTTGAAAAATTGTGAACTGAATGCCCCTCTACATTTTAACTTCCTCATACTTAAAAGAAAGAATTATTTCTAAATATAATCTATAGGATGCACCTTCAGTCTCTCAATCAGTTGCATGAAAGATTTTTATCATAATCCAGTATGAATGTTTATTATGTCACCTATCAGTTGGCCATTGTCTGTGAAGATGAAAATGCTGGTAGTTAACTGTGTCTAATATGTAGGTCAGTGTCACCAACCAGTCAGCAGTCACTTCAGAATCCTATAATTTGACATGATGAATTTTCTATCAATCATACATCACGTAGATCTTTGTCTCCTTTATTATATATCATTGTATGGGGATTTTTTTCTCAGCATCCTTGTTTTTCCAGATGCTTTTAATTAAAAGAAACTAAAATTAAAATACAAAATGTATTAGTATTAATTCAAAATCAGCTTTTGAATTAAGATTAATCCTACATAAGATTTGACAGTATGAAATGTTGTGTGTCACTGGGTCAATCAATAAAAACAGGGACATCTCTTGTCGATCAAAAATCAATTCTGATACACAGCTTTCTTCTTATAATTTAATTGCTTTCTATATCTCATCTCAGTTTGTATCATATGGCAGGATTTGGTGCATAAAGTATTTTTTTCATATATTTATTCAAATAATATCTCTTTTCCTGTATTTTTTCATTCAGTAAGTACAGGAAATCAGTATTAAGATAAAAAAAAAATAATAGAAGAAAACGGAAAAATAAAATAATTTTATCTGGGAACTCCTTTTGTCCCAGTTTTCTCTTCACAAATTTAGTTGCACTTGGACAACCATTTTTAGAAAAATAATAATATATATTGTTCTTACATTACCTGTACTTCATAATGACAATAAAAAAGAGAATTGAACCTAGGTGTTAATTAGTATATTTAAAAGTGTGGGAGGGTCATTATTTTTGTATTATACATGAAAGAGGGTGATAATTTTAATGTTTTCCTCTGGGAGGAGGCGATAATTCTTATTTTCACCTAATGCTGAAAACACAAGTTATATAAGACCAATGATATTGATTCTTCTGAATGTCAAATGTTAGATGCATGTCTGTTACAACTATTAAACTGACAACTTTACTGCTTACAGAAGCAAATATAATCACTTTGACCTTTACAAAAGTTGATGATTCAATGACCATAGTTAATGGGCTACTGTGAAAATCACAATGCTAAATATTGGACTTTAATAAAGTTCGCATCAAACTGGCATACGAAATGACCTTTGGTATTTTATGTGATATAGATTTTTAGTTGATTATACATATACAATTGGTTTTTTTCTTATTGTTAGATCTAATCAAGATACCGGTAATCAGCCAGTTGAAATTAATTGTTCTTTTGTCTTCATTATTATCCAACAAGGAAAGTTTGAAAAAAGATGAAGTTCTGTCATATTTAAAAGCTATTTAACAAATAATCCATGGCTCTTGGGTCATAAGGAAGTCATAGGGACAGTCAATAATCTCTCAAAAAGTAATGAACCAAAGGAGAGAGATCTTTTGTTTTAAGTAACTGTTTAATGTTCAAACAAAAAGTTAGTTTTTAAGACCACCAAGGCCTTCCTTTTTGTTCAAACTGACTTTTCAAAACCTGGATGTTTCAACTGTAGTACTTCAAAAACTGAATTTTCAGTAAAATAGAAGGATATAATGTGTCATTTGTGCTCAAACTGCATTACCTTAGAATACAAATTACAGTCTTTGAATCCTATTTATGGTTTGCACAAAACACTCCATAACATTTAAAATATAATTGCACTTCTCTGGGTTACACAGATAGTAGAATGTTATTTTTAATATCTCGAAATATTTTTGAAAAAAAAAGATTTTTAAGCTAATTTACTGAAACAAAATTTAATGCTTTTTCAAAATCTTCTCTGTTATATTCATGAGGACATTTTAAGATATAATCACTGAACCATTTCCTTGGTCCATATACCACAAATGAACCAGCTTATGTTCAATAGATAGATAGAAATGATATAAGTACTACCTATAATATTTTTATAGAAAATCTTGAATTTTGCAAAAAAAAAACATTAAGATATAGTGTTATCATTTATGACAAAAATAAAACTTTAAGCTCCTTCTAACATTTATCATGGCAATAAAAGCCAGTTTAATAACATCACTGGCTTACTGAGAGATCCATTTGTTATGATTGAAAATTAATGTGAGAATTTAGAATAGAGATTTTATCATACATATTTCAATAAAATATTTAAGAGCTGAAAATTCATCAAGAATTCACAGCAAAGGTATTAAATGATGTTACTGTCTGCTTGATATTGAACTAATTCAAATTGGAAGTTTTTAACATATCTATACAATCTACCAAATAATGGCTTCAGCGTACAGATAATCGGATTAAGAATGATTTTAAACTATGATTGGCAGCTTTTATATGATATATCTTGAAACGTTTTTGTTAAATTTGTAACATCTGTTGGTATTCAGATGCAATGAATCTGTTTGAAAAAAATGTTCATTTGAGGATTATCTCCAAACAATGTCAGGTCAATCTCTAATGCTTGCTTTTTGGTTGATGACTGAATCTTCATGAATGTTCAATAGATTTTACAATAAAAGTAACAATTGATTTAATTTCTTGCTGCTATTGAAAATTTATTGACTTTCTGACTAATTTTTAGCACTGTTGTCCTTGAACCTTCTTTTGCAGAATTAGTGAAGAAGATATATTAGAATTTAAAAAGGAACCTACTTAATGCTACATTATTTTTCAGAAACTTCGAATTCTACAAAATTTTAACACACTAATGTCAGTGGTCGGTGGTCTCACGCACAGTGCTCTGGCAAGGTTATCCAAGACAAATGCTTGCATACCTAGTGAAACACAGAAGGTAAATTATTAATATTTAGCAAAATATGATGCTCATAATGATACTCTTTTCATATATTGGTATCAAATTCAGGAATTTGGTATAGTTTTAAACAAGACAGCAACACACAATAATCATATGATAATCAGATGAATTAATTTTAATTTTAAGAATCTAGATATTAGTTCATTACCTATATTCATGGTACAATGCATGTATAAGGTGATGAAATGATTTAGCATTCTAGGCCATAAGTGTATATGGTATCTTACCATTTTAAAATAAGAGTATAAGTTGGTTAGCTTGTAAGTAATGTCAAAAATACCAAATGAAATTTCTTTGATATACAGCAAATATTTCTCAACCAAAAAAAAACAGATACTTAGACTACATAGAATGTTGGATATCATCAATTAAAACTTTAATCTGATGCATACATAGATATACTGTGAATTCAGTATTATTGGTTGGATACAAATTTTCATGGCTTACTGGTAAACCACTAATCTAAGTCTTCAACAAAGTACAAATTTCCTATTGTTTTTTGTACAAATACTCAAAGTTAGGAAATCAGTTATCGATGAGAATACAATTTTTGTTAAAACCATGAAAATTTGTACAACAAAATCCACTGCAATGAACAGTATCTAACTTATACTTATTCACATTGATTTTAAGCTTATTATGTGGTTCTCATTACTTTTGAACTTGCAATATATTCTGTTTGAAAAAAAATGACCTGCAGTCTGAAGAAGTTTTGTCACTGCTTTCTTGTACCTAAAATGGACATGTCCTTCAATGGACATTTAATTGTCACAAAACACCTACTGTCTAGCTTATGTACTAAATTCATTTATTTTCAATGATAACATTACAAGAAAATATCACATTGAAAGGGTGACTAATCCTGGTATGCAGATTCACAGATATTTGTCAATAATTACATTTAGTAATTCATATAATTAGATTTAGGAACAAAAAGTGCAAGTACTACTTGTACTGACCTCCATGTGGGTTAATTGGTGATTAATTTTAATTTGATACACAATGTATGACATTTTTGTACTAATCCAGTTCTCATTTAAGATGTGGACCTATATTATTAATAATATTTGAATATTAAATCTGTTAAATGACCTCATGAGAGTAATCATTTAATGATCATACCATATGTGCATGGTTTATGAATGGAAAAGAACATCCAGCAAGATCTTCTCTAAATTTACCCAATAAAAACTGCTATATAATATATAGGCTAATGTGTCTGTCTCCAAGCATATTCATTTCAATACTTTTTTAGGAAATTTTCTTTTATTAGAAAGTATATCCATTTTATGTAGGTCACAGACATTAACAATGAACTTGGGATTGAAAGCCTATATTGTTTCTATTATTTTCTATAATGAAGAACATTTATGAACTGTGACTTTCAAAACATCTTAACTTGGTTTTACCTTTAGAAATTTGATAAATATAGATTATACCACTGCATCAAGTGTGATATGATAGTTATCAACTCGAGACAGTTAAATTTTAGATATTAAAATTTAACTGTCGAGAGTGGATAAATTGCGTATTGCACAAGATTTTGTGGTGGAATCTGTTTCTCTAATGATTTTTAGACGATATACAGACAATCTTAATTCTTCTTTTCAAATCATCTGCAAAAAGATGTGTTCTTTCTATGTGACGTCATCTGAGGCATGGTCGCCTTTTTACATGACGTCACAATAGGAAATTCAGAAGAAAGCAAAAAAATTTGATGTCATAATCGAATTTTGACCAATGAAGAACTGAAATAAAAATAATCAAGAGGTTGGGAAAAGGATAAATCGGGTAAGAATTAGAGAAATGTATTTAGGTCATAAAAAGCTATATATATATTATAACTTATTGAAAGAAAAAAGAAGTGTTAATCCTATTAGGAATATGATATTGCTATCCTTAAACGGATTTATAAATTTATTTAATTCAACTGGAATAAAGTATGGAAGTTGTAGTAATAAAATAACAATTGTTGAAACATATGGAAGCCAAAGGCGTGTCTTGATTTTGATTGGTCAGTTTTCAGATTTTTTGTACATCTACATTAAATCTTTCCAAACTCAATAAAAAGTGTTTTCTGAGAACCTATTTAAAGGTTTCTTATTTTGTTTTGATCAGGTGGCATACAAGAAGAGTGAAGCCACATTGGTTTAACTCTGTAGGAAATTACATTCTCATCTTTCTCTCCAAACTATTTGAAACACTCTTGTCTTGAATGATGAAATGAAAGTCTTTTATGAAAATCCCTTGTTGAAATTTAGAGCAGATATATGAAAATTCTAATCCTAATTAGTCAATTTTTAATTTTTCAAAAAATCCAAAAGAAACCCATCCTTCACAGTCAAATGGAGACCATGCAGCATGGGTATTACTTTCAAAAACATTGTGATTTTTTTTTTTAGGAAACCTTCCAACCATTATGTTAAGCAACTGACAAGGGTTGTATCAGGGTTTCATAGAAAAAAGTACCATGGCCCAGACTAATATAAAAAAAATGAAGGAAAAATCAGTTCCAAATGGACTATTGTAGACCCTATGTTGACCTTTCACTGTCGTTAAGTTTTTGTGTTGTTAGGTTGCTGTCTTATAAATGGATACCCCACATAACCTATTATTCATATAAAAGAAAGCTAGTGACCTATAGTCGCTTACTTCTAGGTCATTTGGTCTCTGATGGATAATTTTCTCATGCCACATCTTATTTTTATATAACTCTGGTCACAAAACCAGGACAATCTACTGTAAATTCAGAAATAATTGCAAGGTTTTTATTAATGCGAATAATGTGACTAAGTGACCATTGCAATAATAAGAACTTGCATTCTGATATCCAATATATATATCTTACTGCAGATTTTCCTGAAATCGCATTAATTAATCTCACATTTTTGTCAATTCTTCAAAAATCGCAATAATAAATGCACGCAATAATTTCTGAATTTACAGTAATTGATCATGACATTGTGTTTCAGACTTTGATGGAGTTTACAGAGTTATTGTCATCCAGTAATAACTTCAGTAACTACAGAAAAGTGTTCAATCAGTGTATTCATTTTAAGATTCCTATATTGTAAGTATGAACCCTCTTATTAAGGGTATTTTTATGCTTCTAATTAAGAAAATGAAAAATTAGTCACATCCAGTTAGGAAAATATAAAGATTTTTGGACTTTATATGGTTTTTATACGACCGCAAAAAATGTTTGTGGTCGTATATTGGTATGATGTTGGCGTCGTCGTCGTCCGAAGACACCTTGGTTTTCGCACTCTAACTTTAGTTTAAGTGAATGGATCTTTTTGAAATTTGACCATAAGGTTAAATACCACAAAAGGAAGGTTGGGATTGATTTTGGGGGTTATGGTACCAACAGTTAAGGAATTAGGGGCCAAAAAGGGGCCAAAAATAAGCATTTTCTAGTTTCCAGACAATAACTGTGCAACGGTGTATGGATCTCTCTGAAATTATACTACAAGTTTCCATACCACAAAGGGATGGTTAGGATTTGCTTTGGGGGGTTATGGCTCAAACCGTTTAGGAATTAGGGGCAAAAAAGGGGGAAAAACAAGGTTGTCCTGGTTAATGGACAAATACTTTAGTACAAAACATAATTTAAAGCAGTGTAAGGGAGATAAATCAAATACATCATTGAAATTATCTCCCTTACACTGCTTTTAAATTATGTATAAAGTAATGGTTAATGAACAATAAAGATAATTTAAAACAGTGTAAGGGAGGTAATCCAAATACAACGTTTTGGTTACTTCCCTTACACTGCTTTTAAATTATGTTTAAAGAAATACATATTTATAAAGGAAGACCAGTAAAAATATCTGCAAATGTTGCATCTTTTTTTTTTACAAAAAAATCCATATGAAAGATTTGACACTATATTTTTAATTCTATTATAAAATAGATTAAGTTAGCACTATGGTAAATTTAAATGGGTAATTATGGTTGCCAACTCCATTGGAAATTTGAATTGAGATTATGACCATATCTTGAGGGAAAGAATTTTTTGGGGAAAAAAGGGGGGGGGGGGATAAAAAGAAATTGTGGGGGGTCAATTTTTTCTCATTTCAGATTTCAGAAATTAAAAAGAATTATTCTTCAAATATTATTTCTTTTTCAAATTTCAAATATTGAAAAATTTCAAGAAGTAATCTTTAATTGCACAGTATGGCGCATTAGATTTGTAAAATCTTTGATCACATTTATTTATTTGTTATGCCGAATCTAACAGTGTATTTAGATTTTTAATTTTGGGTCCAGTTTTCAAATTGGTCTACATTAAGGTCCAAAGGGTCCAAATTAAACTTTGTTTGATTTTAGCAAAAATTGAATATATGAGGTTCTTTGATATGCTGAATCTAAACATGTATTTAGATTTTTGATTTTTGGCCCAGTTTTCAAGTTGGTCCAAATTGGGGTCCAAAATTAAACTTTGTTTGATTTCAACAAAAATTGAATATATGGGGTTCTTTGATATGCTGAATCTAACCATGTATTTAAATTTTTTATTTGTGGACCCCCGTTATCAAATTGGTTCATATTGAGGTCAAAAGGGTCCAAAATTAAACTTTGTTTGATTTCATCTAAAATTGAATTATTGGGGTTCTTTGATATTCCAAATCTAACCGTGTATTTAGATTTTTAATTTTGGGTCCTTTTTTTTAAATTGGTCTACATTAAGGTCCAAAGGGTCCAAAATTAAACTTAGTTTGATTTTAACAAAAATTGAATTCTTGGGGTTCTTTTATATGCTGAATCTAAACATGTGTTTAGATTTTTGATTATGGGCCCAGTTTTCAAGTTGGTCCAAGATAGGGTCCAGTATGTAAACTTTGTTTGATTTCAACAAAAATTGAATATATGGGGTTCTTTGATATGCTGAATCTAAACATGTATTTAGATTTTTGATTATGGGCCCAGTTTTCAAGTTGGTCCAAAATCGGGGTCCAAAATTAAACTTTGTTTGATTTCAACAAAAATTGAATATATGAGGTTCTTTGATATGCTGAATCTAACCATGTATTTAGATTTTTTATTTGTGGGCCCCGCTATCAAATTGGTTCATATTGAGGTCAAAAGGGTCTAAAATTAAACTTTGTTTGATTTCATCAAAAATTGAATTATTGGGGTTCTTTGATATGCCAAATCTAACCGTGTTTTTAGATTTTTAATTTGGGTCCCATTTTTTAAAATTGGTCTTCATTGAGGTCCAAATGGTCCAAAATTAAACTTAGTTTGATTTTAACAAAAATTGAATTCTTGGGGTTCTTTGATATGCTAAATCTAAACATGTGTTTAGATTTTTGATTATGGGCCCTGTTTTCAAGTTGGTCCAAGATAGGGTCCAGTATTTAAACTTTGTTTGATTTCAACAAAAATTGAATATATGGGGTTCTTTGATATGCTGAATCTAAACATGTATTTAGATTTTTGATTATGGGCCCAGTTTTCAAGTTGGTCCAAATTGGGGTCCAAAATTAAACTTTGTTTGATTTCAACAAAAATTGAATATATGAGGTTCTTTGATATGCTGAATCTAACCATGAATTTAGATTTTTTATTTGTGGGCCCCGCTATCAAATTGGTTCATATTGAGGTCAAAAGGGTCCAAAATTAAACTTTGTTTGATTTCATCAAAAATTGAATTATTGGGGTTCTTTGATATTCCAAATCTAACCGTGTATTTAGATTTTTAATTTTAAGTCCCGTTTTTTAAATTGGTCTACATTAAGGTCCAAAGGGTCCAAAATTAAACTTAGTTTGATTTTAGCAAAAATTGAATTATTGGGGTTCTTTGATATGCTGAATCTAAACATGTGTTTAGATTTTTGATTATGGGCCCAGTTTTCAAGTTTGTCCAAGTTGGGGTCCAAAATTAAACTTTGTTTGATTTCAACAAAAATTGAAAATATGGGGTTCTTTGATATGCTGAATCTTACCATGTATTTTGATTTTAAATTAAACTTTGTTTGATTTCAACAAAAATTGAAAATATGGGGTTCTTTGATATGCTGAATCTAACCATGTATTTTGATTTTGGACATTGGACCATAATAGGTAAATTAAAAAAATTCAAGTTCTTAGACCACATTCTTTCTGTGTCAGAAACCTATGCTGTGTCAAATATTTAATAACAATCCAAATTCAGAGCTGTATCAAGCTTGAATGTTGTGTCCATACTTGCCCCAACTGTTCAGGGTTCGACCTCTGCGGTCGTATCAAGCTGCGCCCCAGCGAAGCATTTTATTCTTTCTTGATTTCTTTGTGATACGTCCTTGAAGTATAACAGCATGTTTCTCAACCCCTTATCCTTTTACTACTTTAAAACTCTTTTTAATTTATATTATATTCTCATAAAACAGACTGATTTTCTTCTGTTTAAGATGATGAAAACAGACTATTGGCAAGAATGAATATGTATCGAAGTAATAATATATGAGGTAAAAATTAAATGTTTAAAAATGTTTTCTCAATAATCAATTTACAGAGGGGTTCATTTAAAAGATCTGATCCTGCTTCATACAGCTGTACCAGATAAAATCGAAGGAAAGTTAATTAACTTCAGAAAAATGGCACAGTTGTCTCAAACGCTACGAGAATTGACCAAATTACAAAACCAAGATAGTATACCTGTATGTGCCAACATGGATCTTGTAAACACATTACGAGTAAGTATATAAGAATACTTCATTAAAGCATCACATGATTGTTAAAAAGACCAGGATGCAAATACAAATATATAACATAAAGACTTCGGTAAACTCCTTGAAAACTTTATTTAGTGTGTTGACTGTGTAAATAATGTCGATTTACGAATAGAATAAAACATACTATGTTAGTATCTAACATTTAGAATATACCATTAAAACAATATTATGGTTCAGATACCTAAAGTGAATCAGGTGCTGGGAATGGTCAGAAATACAATATCAAAATATATGTTGTTTCCTATTCAAAACACTTAAAAACACAACAATCGTATAAAAACAATGTTTATTTCACCAAGCCTATCTGAGGAATTGTATAGAATGCGCAGTGGATTTGTTGCGCTAAATGATTGATTGATGGATTTTTATTTGCTTGTTGATTATATGCCATTTTTCAAATGGATATCAAACTGAATTTCAAAATGTCGAGAAATGGCAGCTACCATAGAAAGTCATAGAACATCTACATATAAACAGGGAAAACCCTTTCAGCTCTTTATCAATTCACAATATCACATTCCATTCAAGAAAAAATAATGATTGATTATCAATATTTGATAAGAAGAATACAAAAAATTCACATGGTTTATAAATGATATTTTGTTCTTGAAATTTAAAATAAAGAGTATTAATTTACTACTCTATAGTCTATACCATGAAAATTTATGTATAATCGTCAAATTTAGTTTTTTTTGCAAGAAAATTTCAGGACTGGAAACATATCATGGATGCGTCAACATAAAAGATCTTTTAATATTATATTTATTATAACAAATTACGTATATATCTGACTTGAATATCTAGTTTGTTGAAGCCTGCACTCTATGTTTTCTAGGTCTAAAGGAATAGGGACATTAAGGTTAATTTTTGGCCCTACAAAATTTAAATTTCGTCACGGTTTGTTATCATGGTAACTAGATAAATATGAAATTTGTTTTTATTTTTCTGAACACATTTTGTACCTCAGTACAGCAACATGGGATTTTGGGTACAGTTGTGCAGCTGGGATTTAAAAAACACCCCCCATTCATATATTGAATAATTATGAAATCCCTATCTATACATATATTTCACAGCGAAATCATAACCCATTCATATATTAATTAGCTGAAATAGTACCTATATGCATATACAATCTTATTATATAAAAAACACTTTTCAATTATATAATATACTTTAATTTATATGAAATATTGAACTTTATAAACAATAACAAGTAAAAACACAATGAGAATAAACGCAACAAGATTAGTGCAAATAGATCGATGTGTTACCCAATAAGTGCAAAAGGTTCGATATGTGACCTTTTTTTTACTATACTCTAGTGGGTAAAGATTATTAATTGTGACAGTGTAATACAATTTGATCAATAACAAAACTTGTGTCAATAAGTTTCTGCAGATGTGGAAATTTTAATGACAAAGAGTTTGTGAAATTCATTGAAGATCTTTCACAACAAACTGAAAAATTATGACCCATTGATATATCACAATTGGTCAATTACTACCTATTGATATATTTCCTCTATAAAATTGCACCCCATTGATATATTTGACATATCAAAAAAGGGACCCATTCCAGCGGCACATATGTATATACCTTCATATAGGAAGAGACCCCCCCCCCCCCCAGTGATTTCCCCTTCTCCTTTAGTTGAAATCATGATGATTTTGTCAACTATATGGGGTGTAGATGTCAACACTTTATCAGAAAAGTCATTCATAAGGACTTAATATTCTTCAGGGCCTAATATGGCTCTTACCAAAAATTCTCCTTTAGTAGTGAAGTAGGTCCCCTAAAAACTCTACAAAGAAATCTTGGAATGGTTCTTTTGAACAAAGAAATGACTAACTGAACTATATGCACTTAACTCAGAATCAATATAAAAATCTTCACACATGATTAGATTAAATGATCCAAGATTAATCAAGTTGTCATATATCACGATCATATTAAAATTGCATTGTTAGATTTACCAGGTTTTATTGAGCAGGAATTAACAGTTGATGAAATTTGTCGATTCTTGAAAAAAGAATGTCTTGCACTTACTGTACTTGAGTCTCGTTAACTCCAGTACATAACATATTCAATATTGGTACATGGTATATGTTTAATTCAAATATATGGCCCATTTGAAGAGGACCTATATGATATGTATAGATTATAACATGCCCTTTTCCATATTGGCCCTGGTATCATCCTGAGACTCCCATATCGGCCTTGAGGCTTTAGCCGAGGGCCGATATGGGTCGAGGGATGATACCAGGGCCAATATGGAAAAGACATGTTATAATCTATTTATCACATAATTAAGTTCTGCAGAAAAGAGAAAAAAAGTTCAATTATAACAATTTAATGAAATATAACAGGTAAAATCTTAAAAATTTTATCACAAAAGTTTTATCCCATTTTCAAATTTAGTTTTTATCATAACTCCATAGAAATTTATTGTCACATTTCCACTTATTTTGGAGTATGGCAATACACAAATGCCAGAATTTGGCATAATTGGGGCTAAATCTATAACTGTTGGTTGTGCATTGTTACTAGTTGCCATTGTCGTTAAGGACGCAATGGCGTCACGTCATTTGGAATCAGGGCAAAACAACCAATAACCTCTTTATTGCCCCGGGCAATTTTGAGGTTATTACATATGCAAAACCCAATGTAATCGTAACAAATATGTGATAAGATTACATAGTTGTCATGCTTTGAAGTCATGAATGATGTTATTTATTTATCATATTCCTTTTCTTTTTAATACATGATCTTCCAATTGGTGCTTTCCCAGAAAAATTTGATGTCACAAAGCAAATATTTTTACATCACCCTGTCCTATGACACGTTTTCCGTCAAATGACCCCAGGTCAACCGGAGCAGTTCATTCATAAAATGGAAATTGGAATCTTGTGTATATTTGATGTTATTTGATATTTGATTCCTTTATCATTGACGTATTTACAGAAAAAAAGAATCATGTTTAACAGAACAGAAATTGCAAAACATGACTAAGTATGCTTCATATAAAAGCTGTCAGAAAACTTAGGTTTGTTATAAAAAAAATGAAGCAGTTATTTCTGTAAATTACAAAGTGTAATTTGAATTTATGTCAGTTAAAATCCCCTTCCTTAATTATTTTGATGTAGCTTTTTTTTTTTTTATTAAATTAACATAAAGATAAAAAAATATATATGGGGCATATGTCATCAACCCAAAAACACAATCAACAGGATAAGTTGTTTATACAAGATAAGGAGATAAGCAGCCTCTTGAAGATTGGTACCGATTATCAGGTTGTCTGCATATTGATATTGTAAAATATCAGCTGCGAGTCAAAATATGAAGTTTATGTTGAGTGAGCACAGCGAAGAGGCTTCATATTGTGTCAAGTAGCTGACATTGACAAAATAAATATGATGAAAATCTGATAATTGATTTATCCGATTATATTTGTGTATTTTGCATGAAAGAAACAAGTGTTTTCTTTGTTTCACCAGCAAACCAGAAGATGACTTGACAAGTTTGGGTCAAATTTTTTCATTGTCAGTTCATTCATTATGACAGGTCTAAGTTATTTAGGCGGGGTTATCGTATTTGACGTCAAAAAGCCATGATATGTAATTTGATGAAGAGCTGAGTAGAGTGATACAGACAGTGGGAACACCTATATTAATTGTTTTACATATCATTGTTATCCATTTTTGTTTCTGTTTATAGCTATCATTAGATTTACACTACACAGAGGATGAAATTTATGAATTGTCATTAGCTAGAGAACCACGAAACTCATTATCTTCAGTAAGTATTCAACTCTTTATAAAAATACAGGGGGCCCTCATTAGGCTTAACTCATAGGCATTAATACATATTTATTAGATATGGCCTAAAAATGAGTTATATTGTCCAAAATTTGAATTTTTTTGTGTCTGACATAGGGACAGAATATGATGATTTTTTTCTCTCAGTTAAATGAAGACAAAAATGGCAAAAATATTCTGTCACACCATGCAGCAATCTAGAAATATCTTTTGAAAGAAATAATTGCATTTTAGCTAAAAAAATTTTTTAATTGGCCCATTCCCTCAGGCCCTGCTTCAAATCTTGTTGTTAATAAGTAACTATGTGATTGATCTATCTGATTGAAATACAGATACTGTGTCCATGCTTCTCTTACAAGGATCTGTCAACACTCCACTGGCACTCTTGTATCTGTTTTAAAAAAAATCTTTCAGGATTCTCTGATATTGTAGTAATGATACATACCTTAAAAACATTTGAAGACAAAAATGTCATTGGCTGATGTAATGATTACGAGAACAGAAAGTAGAACAGAGTGTTGTCAGTTCCTTGTAATCTGTATTTTAATCAGAATGGTGATCACTTCCACCCTCCTTTAAATTTGTCTTGATATTTAACAATTACAGGGGCATTCTATTGTTTTACATGATTTTATAAAATTTGAATGTTTGGTCAGAAAACCTTATTTCATTTCAAAATATAAGACGATATTTCATAATGAAATTATGTATTTTCTGATTTCCAAGTACCTATTTTTTTTTTTACAGCCTTCCACACCTACCAAGCCAGTAGTATTTGCTGACTGGTTGGCAGGAGTTAGTCCCCCTGATCCAAATACAATCAACAAACATGTGTACGATATGGTAGAGGTATGTTTATTTTATACATGACAAAGTAGAAGGAGCTGATGGCTCTATATTGACTCAAAGAAAGGAGAAGCTACCAAAGAGATATTCAAACTCAAAAGTCCGTTACAAGCTTACAACAGTCATGGCAAAGAAACGCCCAAAAGACAAACTACAGTATACAAAGCACAACATAGAAATCTAAAGATTTAGCATCACAAACCTGACCAAAACCTGGGGGAGATGTCAGGTGCTCCGAAAGGGTAAACAGATCCTGCTCCACATGTAGCATAAAGATTATCAAGATATTACTGTAGAGCTAACTATCATTACCACTTGATTTCATGTCTGCTTTCATTCTTTTATAAAAATGTGCTGTGCTAATTACTTATGGGCATGTTTGGATATCTGCCCATAGGTAACCTATGGGTAAAAAAAGATAATAACCATGATGAACATGGACTACTCATGTTCTAACCCCAGTAATGACCTTGCTGGTTATCTATTGATTAGGAAAGAAATTAAAAACGATATTTTGAAGCTGCCCAATTAGTTCGACCAATTTCGAATTCTCTGGTGAAAAAAAAAAATAATATTTAGTTCAACTTTTGAAAAAAGCAAAGAAAAAAAAAAAAAATAAAATGCAATAAGAGATGTGTATATGAATATTGTACATGTTCAAAATAACAATATAAACTTACATTTTTAATGATAATAATCAAGAAAAAAATGTCCTATGAATGTGACCCCTTCCTTATTAAAAGAAGAAAAGAAGTACATGTTTGTACCTATCTGGTGTACTTCTAGTTACCACACACTAAAAACAAACCTAATATCTGAGTTAAATGGATATTTTTCCCCAAAGAAAAGGATATGTTAAAACTGGAACTCTCTAATTAGACAGTTTATTTATCTACAACCATTTATTTCAGCAGTTATATTGGACCTGTATATAAACACCGAAACTGTGGATAAAGCATTGGTTACAAATAACTTCTATGACTATATATTGATCAAAATTTAACTAAGAATGGTCAGAAAATCTTAATAGAACTTGAATTTTAAAGTAATGAAAATAATTTAAGGACCTTTAGAAATGTTTAAACATCAATGCACACCAAAAAATATGCATTAAGTTATAGTCTCATCACATAGAAGAGCGAACGCATCTGTTGCAGTGTTGCACCAATCCGCCCTCTCTTCCTTAAAACTGTGTTCTGATCTTTTTATCTAATATTATGAATGATTCAATGTTATCATCAGTAAAAAATATATAAATAGGTTGTGATTTTCCAATGAAATATATGAATAGGTAGGGATTTTAGCATGTTATTTATCCTGTTTCAAAACTAAAGCCCAGTTTTGAGTTATTCTAGGTTTCTCTTGTGGAAATAAATAATGAACTTAGTGTTACTAAAATTGAAATGGGGTAAACTTCATTGAGACAGCAACCCAACAATTCAAAAAACCTAATGACATCTAGTGACTTTAATATATTTACATTAAAGAGTTAAATATTTACAGAATGTATAGTTATTCATGCGTTATTTGTTTTTCAGGCTGTGTTTAAAAATTATGATCATGACAGAGATGGGTTTATATCACATGCAGAATTTGAGGCTATTGCAGGGAATTTTCCATTTATTGATTCATTTTCTGTCCTTGATGCTGATCAGTAAGTTTTATATGTTATAAGTTATAACATTCAGACAACAAAATTTGCTCCTGTTTTAGGATATTGGTATTTGTCTTATCTTCAATGAAAGTTGTAGTAGGCAAAAGTTAGGTATAACTTTCATGACAGCATATAGTGTTTTAAAATTTCTAACTAACTCATTCCCACTTTCAACTGAATTAATAAAGATATGTATGGAGATTTTCATGATCAGATCTTGTCACCCAATCTTTGCCCTGACCTTAGCCTGATCTCAAAATATTCATGCTCAAGTGGTCAGGTGAAGTTTCAAGATTAGATCTGTTCTGCAGTAACTTCATATGATTGGTGTACATTATTTGGTAGGTATATTGTTTGTGAGGAAAATATGTCCATCTGACAAAAGTTTTCCATGACTTATTTCCACTTCCAGGGGTTATTTTAAATTTTCATACATTCGTTTGCGGGACATATTATGGTATACCATTGTCCATCTGTCTGTCCGTCGATCTGTCATCAATACTGACAATTAATCAAAAATGCTTTCACCAATTTTCATGAAATGTTGTCGAATTGTTCACATCTATTGTTATAAGCTCCCTTTGGATTTTTATAAATTTTGGATTTTACGTTTCTGAGTTATAGGATTTTATTCATAAAAAAGGGGGAATTTTCCAGTTTTCAGACATCAAAAATTGTGAAAATTGTCCATTTTTCACACTTTGGAGGGTTATAGAATTTTATTCTTTCAAAAATCAAGGCCACAACTTAGTTAAACTTGAGGTAGCCTTAATAGTGCCAAATTATTCATGTTTTGTGTCAATGGGTAACACTGTGTGTGCAAGTCTTTTTTTTATGGGGGGTTCTATTTGAGCAGTGCTCACTGTATTTCTAGTTGATCATATACATTCATTAAAAGCTTAAAGACGAGCTAAAAGGCAGATAAGTGTACCATGCACTCATGGCGCAGCTCTTTATTAAGATAATATTTGAATTTTAGTAACTACAGGTCGACAATATTTGGTACTAAGGAGTGGCTGTGAGGAGTATATATATCAGTCTGACATATCTTATATGATCTTGGTCTCATTTTCACACTCCAATGGGCAGGTGAATCTTATGTTTGCCTGTTCCAATTCTGAAATAAGATGTGTGAATTTTTTCAATTTGAGTACTTTTTTTTCCTGAAAAAGCCCCCATTCCCCCCTAAATATCCCTGTAATTTTTATCACTGGACCAATAAACCCTCAATTATAACTCAATCAACCTTTTTTGTAAAACTGTGAAGGCATTTGTTTAAAAGTATGCTAGACCTCAACAAAAGTCACATAGGTTCATTGACATGTGTATATGAAGTTTTTAATGTAACAGCTGTATTGTCTGCTCATTTGTAATTAGATATATGTTGGTACACGTATCTGATGGTCATATTTCTATATTGTTGTTTATATTTCCTAGATATAATACATGTAAGAATGTTCAGTACAAATATACTGTTGAAAAAATGAGGTAGATGATCTAGAGAAAGCCAAAAACAAAACCTAAACTTTAAATTTGGGGACCTATAGTTGTTAACTTTTACGTCGTTTGGTCTCTGGTGTAGAGTTGTCTCATCGGCAATCATACCACATCATCTTATTTTTATAGTGCAAAGATGAAGTTTAATGTCCTTTAAGTCACTGCAAGGAGTTGAATGTTGGGAAATTCCCACTATCCATACATAGCAACAACCTACTACCTTTCTGGTAAAGGGAATTTTATGTGTAGAATGTCAGCTATTCTTTTAATTTTTATGCCCCACCTAGGGGCATTATGTTTTTCGGTCTCTGCATCCCTCTGTCCGTCCGTCCGTCCCGGTTAAAGTTTTTGGTCAAGGTAGTTTTTGATGAAGTTGAAGTCCAATCAACTTGAAACTTAGTACACATGTTCCCTATGATATGATCTTTCTAATTTTAATGCCAAATTAGAGTTTTGACCCCAATTTCATGATCCACTGAACTTAGAAAATGATAGTGCGAGTGGGGCATCCGTGTACTATGAACACATTCTTGTTCATCTGAAATTTATCAACAAGGAAATAAATATTACAATTACATAATAACTTAGAAGTACAAACTTATAAAACTTTTTTCTTCATTTAAATCTTTTTCCGCTACATCATTGTCTTAAAAATTATGTCAATGACTTTTTCTAATACATATTTACCCAATATACTTTCCTTTTGTTATTTTTTTTTTTTTTACAGTTCATAAGCAATAGTACATGAAATTTCTGAATTTTCATATTTATCAGATGTCAAATATTTCTCTACTGAATTGAAGTCATATTCAAGTCAATGGCCAAACAACTAAATGAATCAAATAACAATAAGACATTGAGAGGTCATCATTTCCAAAACAAAGTCACCCAATAGGTCAGTGTATCTGAACAGTAAAAGAAACATGTAATAATATAAAAAAGGTCATGTCTATAAACATTCTGATGACAAAACAATATAAAATTATAAAGTTTTTTTCAAATACATATCAAAATAAGATTTGGCCAAGGTGAAATGTTTGGTGTTAAAGATAGTTAAATGAAAACAAATAGATATTTTAGAACCCGTTTTATAATTTATATGTTTTTTTTCAGGGATGGAAAAATAAGTAAAGCAGAAATGAAGACCTACTTTTTCAGAGCTAATTGTCATGCTCTAAGAAATAGCTTTAAACATGACTTCCATGAGACTACATATTTTAAGCCTACTTTCTGTATACATTGTACTGGTCTGGTAAGTGTTCCATTAGTCCTGACAATTTAAAACAAAAAACAGTTGGGTTAGGGATATATAAGATTCCAATATTCAATAAAGTACAACGCATCTTTTTGAGCTACCAAATTATATTATTTGGATCTGTGTCAGCATTTGCATCTAGCTCTTGTGGGAAAATATGAAGAAAACCTGGAGCACATTCATGGCATTTTCACTTTCCTCATTTTTCTTAACAATTGCTTATTTGTATAGGAAATAAAACTGATGTTTAATATTTTCAAAAGAAAACTTGAGACAAAACAAGTTAAAATAGCAAAAATAAAGATCTTTGTGTAAATTCATGTATGTGTCTTCTGAGTTCATAACTATAAATTAGTTAATTTTAATTCAGATTTTGTGGCTCTTAATTTATACATTTTCAATTGGAATGCACTTTAAAAATTTATACAGCCAGACTCAAAGTTCTATGAAATTGCTAGAATAAAACAATGTCAAATTTCAAGATAGAAAGTAATAAATTAAAATATTTAAGTGTGAATATAAAAAGATTAAAAAAATATTAGTTAAACTTATATTACATGGTACTATTTCTGAAATCAACATGTTTATTCTGTTCTGTTTTGTCTGTTTCAGTTATGGGGTCTAATTAAACAAGGTTGGAAATGTAAAGGTAAGTCTTTTTCTTACACTTTCATACCAAAAATACTGAACAGTACAACAAAAACCACACCAATCCCCAACATATACTTGACTTCTCTGAAAAAATTGACAAAACAGCAACTACAAAACAAAACAATGTACAAATAGCCTGACTTGGTACAGTCACAAAATGTTGTGTGGTTTAACAAGTTTCATGTGAGCACTCTTTCCTAGATCCCGAAAAATTTATCATTAATTCCCAAGTCCAGATAAGGGTAATTCCTGATTTCCTGTGAAAAAAGGCCCAGTCCTGAATTACTGCAAAAATTAAAGCCTAATCCCGACATCCAGAAAAAGATCCTTCCACCCCTCAAAGAAACAGGAGATGATCTTGATAGTGGTATCTTTATGATATACTCATTGTGCATACTTAAACTCTGTATTATCATCAGTAAGCTTATCATCAAGGTAAGTTATTGTTGAAAACCTTAAGTAAGCTATCACAAAAATATTATTTTTGTAAGCCAGTTTTTTTTCTTAAAAATTGATTTATAACAGTAAAGAAAGATATCTACAACAAGGGATGCACAGTTTGTACCCATAGGAACTTTACTAATTTGACAATGACATAGGTACCTTTACATTTCAGATTGTGGTATAAATGCACATAAACATTGTAAAGATTTGGTTGTGATGGAATGTCGGAGTAAACAACATGCAGGATGTAATCGGCGTGTGGATTCTGTATCAAATGGTTTGTATCTATATAAAGAGAGGATAGGCAATTTGATTGAATAAGCCAATTGTAGTTTGTGATATAGATTTATAAACATATATTGAAAACTAAACATGATACACTTGTAATTTATTATAGAATGGCTGAAGAATTGAGAAAATTTCAATAAAATCAAGCTGCAGTTTAGGATGAATACGTGAAACTTTTTATCATTCAGATATGCACAAGAATTGTCCCCCATTTGTGTCAGATGATTCAGAACTGTGATACCTAAGTTAAAGAATAGAAAATTATGATATGAAAAATATGCTCTTTAAATACCAAATAGAAAATTAAATTATGAAGATATGCATGCATTATGTTTTAAAGAAAATAGAATATAAAATCGTTAGTGTTGAAAGTTGGTTCTGAAAAATACTTATAGACAGTATAAATGCCCTGCTGCAATCTATATAACCACACTCATCTCCATGGTAATGGAATTTATTTATTATTTATTAATAGCCAATATCATTTATGTAGGTCCTGGTCATCAAGATCTCACATACTCTACAAAACGTAAAATGTCTCAACGACAGAAAAAGACGCGGGTACATCAGGGGACACAGACGGAAGAGATATATTTTAGTGATTATGGACAAATGAATGGTGAAGGAGAGTTTTATGATGAGCACAATACATTATATACACGGTTATTAAAGACAGAAGAGGTGATGATCATTTATTTACAAGAATATGTGTAAAATGTTAACTGATTGCTTTGGGTTCCTGAAATTGCCTTATAAATCTAGGAATGGAAGGCACTCTTAAGTTTAATGATAATTTAAACTTAATAAGATATAAAAATTTTAAAAAGAAAGTAAAAGTATAATATTTTTTTGTTTGTTTCCATCACTTTTAATTGAAACAAGCTTCTTTTTTATATTGTAAAAAATATGAACAATTACTGTACATTAGACATGACATAGTTACCATTAACTAGACATACTACATAGCGAGAGAAAAATTCACATTCTGAAAGTCAGAGTAAGGTCTTCAGATTGAGTCAGATAAATGTTTCTTACCACAAGCTCAAGAAATTCCTCTTGTATATACGTTAGTAGTACATCTTGTTTTTTATCACAATTATTTTCATATGATAAAGTTTACCAAAGTTGTCATATTCATAGTGAAAATAGCAAATATTTGCACCCTTGAAACACATTGTATCTATAAACAACTATGTTAGAAAGTTAGGCAGATGGTACTACAGGGAGAGAAAAGAATATACACTTTACATATGACTGAATTAAAAATGATACGGTAAATTCAGAAATTTTTGCTATGCAACAATTAATGCGGAAATTATGACTGAATATGTATGGCAAAGATGAAAACTTACATTTCAGATTTTGAAAACTTCTTGTATGCGATAATCAATCTCCAATTTTTGTGTTTCTTCAAAATCGCAATAATAAATGCACACAAAAATTTCTGAATTTACAGTCACCAATTTTATTTAAAATAACATTTCCACAAGGAGACAATCAAAAAAATTTCAATGAAACTGGAACAAATTAGATATAATAATCAAAAGACAATTACTGGTAGATGGTTACAAATAGCATTTGAAGCTTAAAGTTGAAATGTGTAAAGTTGACTTTTGCAAACACAGAATTTATTGTACATATTAAGAATATAGATTTGGGGTTTTGTATTTCTTTGTTATTTGAAGAATTTTTTGTCATTTATCTGAACATATAGTTGTTCTTAAAGATTATTAACAAATACTATATTTGTGTATTCTTTAAAGTTTTGGGTAAATTTTCTCTTATTCTTTATTTTTTTTGCCCATTATTCTCCATTTTTTATATTTTAGCACTCCATTATTCTCTATTTTTTTTATTTTTTTGGCCTATTTTTCACTGTTCTTTATATTTTTTGCCCTTTATTCTGCACCTTTTGTCCATTGTTTTCTTTTTTTGTATTTTTGGCCCTTTATTCTGCACCTTTTGTCCATTGTTTTCTTTTTTTGTATTTTTGGCCCTTTATTCTGTACCTTTTGTCCATTGTTCTCTTTTTAGCTCACCTGGCCCAAAGGGCCAAGTGAGCTTTTCTCATCACTTGGCGTCCGTCGTCCGTCGTCCCGCGTCCGTAAACTTTTACAAAAATCTTCTCCTCTGAAACTACTGTGCCAAATTTAACCAAACTTGGCCACAATCATCATTAGGGTATCTAGTTTAAGAAATGTGTCCGATGACCCGGCCAACCAACCAAGATGGCCGCCATGGCTAAAAATAGAACATAGGGGTAAAATGTAGATTTTGGCTTATATCTCTGAAACCAAAGCATTGAGAGCAAATCTGACATGGGGTTAAAATGTTTATCAGGTCAAGATCTATCTGCCCTGGAATTTTCAGATGAATCGGACAACCTGTTGTTAGGTTGCTGCCCCTGAATTAGTAATTTTAAGGAAATTTTGCCGTATTTGGTTATTATCTTGAATATTATTATAGATAGAGATAAACTGTAAACAGCAATAATGTTCAGCAAAGTAAGTTCTACAAATAAGTCAACATGACCAAAATGGTCAGTTGACCCCTTAAGGAGTTATTGCCCTTTTATAGTCAATTTTTAACAATATTTCATAAATTTTTGATATCTTTTACAAAAATCTTCTCCTCTGAAACTACTAAGATGAATTTAACCAAAGTTGTAAACAATCATCAATAGGGTATGTAGTTAAAAGATTGTGTCTGATGACCCCGCCCGCGAACCAAGATGGCCGACATGGCTACTAATAGTACATAGGGTAAAATGCAGTTTTTGGCTCATATATCTAAACCCAAAGCATTTCGAGCAAATCTTTCAAACACAAAATTGTTCATTAGGTCAAGATCTATCTGCCCTTAAATTTTCAGACCATTAAGGCAGCCCGTTGTTGGGTTGCTGCCCCTGAATTGGTAATTTTTAGAAATTTTTTCAGCTTTTGGTTATTATCTTGAATATTATTATAGATAGAGATAAACTGTAAACAGCAATAATGTACAGCAAAGTAAGACCTACAAATAAGTCAACATGACCAAAATGGTCAATTGACCCCTTAAGGAGTTATTGCCCTTTATAATCAATTTTTAACAATTTTCATAAATTTTGTAAATTTTTACAAAATAATTTCAACTGAAACTACTGGGCCAAGTTCATTATAGATAGAGATAATTGTAAGCATCAAGAATGTTCAGTAAAGTAAGATCTACAAACACATCACCATCACCAAAACACAATTTTGTCATGAATCCATCTGTTTCCTTTGTTTAATATGCACATAGACCAAGGTCAGCGACACAGGCTCTTTAGAGCCTCTAGTTTGGTATTGTTGGCCCTTTATTCTGCACCTTTTGTCCATTGTTCTCTTTTTTGGTGTTTTTGGCCCTTTATTCTGCACCTTTTGTCCATTGTTCTCTTTTTTGTATTTTTTGCCCTCTATTCTGCACCTTTTGTCCATTGTTCTCTTTTTTTGTATTTTTTGCCCTTTATTCTGCACCTTTTGTCCATTGTTCTCTTTTTTTGTATTTTTTGCCCTCTATTCTGCACCTTTTGTCCATTGTTCTCTTTTTTTGTATTTTTTGCCCTTTATTCTGCACCTTTTGTCCATTGTTCTCTTTTTTTAGCTCACCTGACCTGAAAGGTCAAGTGAGCTTTTCTCATCACTTGGCGTCCGTCGTCTGTCGTCCTGCGTCCGTCGTCCGTCGTCCGTCGTCCGTAAACTTTTACAAAAATCTTCTCCTCTGAAACTACTGGGCCAAATTTGACCAAACTTGGCCACAATCATCATTGGGGTATCTAGTTTAAAAAATGTGTCCGGTGACCCGGCCAACCAACCAAGATGGCCGCCATGGCTAAAAATAGAACATAGGGGTAAAATGTAGATTTTGGCTTATATCTCTGAAAACAAAGCATTTAGAGCAAATCTGACATGGGGTAAAATTGTTTATCAGGTCAAGATCTATCTGGCTGAAAATTTTCAGATGAATCGGACAACCCGTTGTTGGGTTGCTGCCCCTGAATTGGTAATTTTAAGGAAATTTTGCCATTTTTGGTTATTATCTTGAACATTATTATAGATAGAGATAAACTGTAAACAGCAATAATGTTCAGCAAAGTAAGATCTACAAATAAGTCAACTTGACCAAAATGGTCATTTGACCCCTTAAGGAGTTATTGCCCTTTATAGTCAATTTTTAACCATTTTTCGTAAATTTTTGTAATCTTTTACAAAAATCTTCTCCTCTGAAACTACTAAGACAAATTTAACCAAACTTGTCCACAATCATCATTAGGGTATCTAGTTTAAAAAATGTGTCCGATGACCCCGCCCGCGAACCAAGATGGCCGACATGGCTAAAAAATAGTACATAGGGTAAAATGCAGTTTTTGGCTCATATCTCTGAAACCAAAGCATTAAGAGCAAATCTGATGAGTATAAAATTGTTAATTAGGTCAAGATCTATCTGCCCTGAAATTTTCAGACCAATCAGACAACCCGTTGTTGGGTTGCTGCCCCTGAATTGGTAATTTTAAGGAAATTTTGCAGTTTTTGGTTATTATCTTGAACATTATTATAGATAGAGATAAACTGTAAACAGCAATAATGTTCAGCAAAGGAAGATCTACAAATAAGTCAACTTGACCAAAATGGTCAGTTGACCCCTTAAGGAGTTATTGCCCTTTATAGTCAATTTTTAACCATTTTTCGTAATTTTTTGTAATTTTTTACAAAAATCTCCTCCTCTGAAACTACTAAGACAAATTTAACCAAACTTGTCCACAATCATCATTAGGGTATCTAGTTTAAAAAATGTGTCCGATGACCCCGCCCACGAACCAAGATGGCCGACATGGCTAAAAAATAGTACATAGGGTAAAATGCAGTTTTTGGCTCATGTCTCTGAAACCAAAGCATTTAGAGCAAATCTGATGAGGATAAAATTGTTCATTAGGTCAAGATCTATCTGTCCTTAAATTTTCAGACCAATCAGGCAACCCATTGTTGGGTTGCTGCCCCTGAATTGGTAATTTTAAGAAAATTTAGCAGCTTTTGGTTATTATCTTGAATATTGTTATAGATAGAGATAAACTGTTAACAGCAATAATGTACAGCAAAGTTAGATCTACAAATAAGGCAACATGACCAAAATTGTCAATTGACCCCTTAAGGAGTTATTGCCCTTTATAGTCAATTTTTTACAATTTTCATAAATTTTGTAAATTTTTGTAAATTTTTACAAAGTATTTTCCACTGTAACTACCGGGCCAAGTTCATTATAGATAGAGATAATAGTAAGGAGCAAGAATGTTCAGTAAAGTAAGATCTACAAACACATCACCATCACCAAAACACAATTTTGTCATGAATCCATCTGTGTCCTTTGTTTAATATGCACATAGACCAAGGTGAGCGACACAGGCTCTTTAGAGCCTCTAGTTTGTTTTTTTTTTGCCCTTCATTCTGCACCTTTTACCCATTATTCTTTATTTTGTAAATCCCATCCAGACCCTCATACACACATCATCTGTAGTTTCAGAAAACAGCAGATACAACATTTTATTTTGTTATCTAATTTTGGGGGTATAAATATTTTATCTGCAGTCTTTAGATAACTCCAGAGGTTATTTTGTATTTGGTTATGTATTTATTGAAGTATACATATTTTAGTCTCAGACAACACAAGAGGAGGATCAGTAAGTGTTAAAATGTTGTCATCCCATTGCTTAACTTTACTTCAGCTGCTCAGCTGTTTCACAATTTCTATTTTCAACAAATTTATACAAAGTATTTTTTGTACCAGTTAGAGGTAACAGCATGTTACATATTTCTTTTTTTTTTTATCATTTGAGCTGTGTTGGAAAGAAATCAACCTTATGCAAGTGCACATATATGTATACATGTAGATTTTGATTGATTTTGGAACATCTAAATACAAAGATTTTTTTCAACCTGAAATAGGATAACAGATGTATTGATATTCATTTGCCTAAGGTTGATTTCTATCCAAAGCAGCTCATATGTTCATGTACAACTTTGATCAATAGTTCTTTAAATTTGTTGAAATGGAAATCAAACTTTGGTAACCTTGCATTTGAAGTATAAGTTGAATGTTTTCATGTGTATGTTGTTCAATCCTTAATGTTAGATGATCTTAGATAAAAACTCATATTTTATTTCCTGAACCTTATTCAACCAAAACTGTCATTTGAATGCTACTTTTTCTGATGTAACACGACTTAAACAAATAGAACCTCAATTGAATGCTACTTTTTCTGATGTAATACGAATTAAACAAATAGAACCTCAACCGAATGCTACTTTTTCTGATGTAACACAATGTAAGTGAAAAAGAAACCTTAACTGTATAAATTTCTTTAGCATGTTCTTTTTACCTCTGAAAAAAGATTGTACATAAAACAACGCATTCAATACCTGATATAGGTATATTTTAATTATATACTAGTTTCTATTCATTATATTGCAATAAAGCACAGCCAAATAGATTTAAATACCAAAAATTGTTAGAAGATTTTGAGATAATTTTCATTAAAATTTCTATGAATTTCTAAATAAAATCTGCTAATAATTTTCTATATATAGATATTTCAATTTTTGTTCCATACCTTCATTATCATTTCATTTTTTTGTTCATTCAGTAAGTGGCTTTAAATTTCTAGCTTAGTAACAACATTGGTTTTTGCTTTTTCATGGGGCATTGCTTAATTATTATAAAAATAATAAGATGTTATGTCTTTTTTTCTGTTTTCATAATATATGATCAGTCTGTGTAGTGTTATTGAAAACAACTTGTTGTTATCTTTACAAATTTAAGATTGTGTAAACTATCCTTTTTATATGTAATGTTTTGTGTATGGAGAAAATACTCAAATTGTTGAAAAAGAAATGAACTGCACTTTTTATATAAAAAAAAAAATCATGCATATCTTTAATTTAAAAATAAGGAGATGTGGTCTGATTGCCAGATAGGCAAACTTCCACCAGAGACCATATGAGATAAAAGTTAGAAACTATAGGTCACTGTATGGCCTTCAGCAATGAGCAAAACCCATACTGCATAGAAAGCTATAAAAGACCCTGAAATGACAAATTTAAAATATTTAAAACAAGAAAACTAACAGCCTGATTTATGTACAAAACAATGAACCAAAAACAAATATGATATACAGCAACAAAGGCCAGCAAGATAATTACAAGCTCCTGACTTGGGACAGGCACATACAGAATGTTGATGAGTTTAACATGTTTGTGGCACCCAACCCTCCCCCATAGTTTTTTCTTCCATCATCAAGATCATATTTTTTAGCCTGAAGCACATTTCCATAATGATGATTCTCACTGTTAAATGGTTAAGTGAAACAAATAATTTTTCATGCTTGGAAATAGTACTGATTCACAGCATTAAAAGTCGAGAATTAGCTATTTAAAATGATGTAAATGTAATAAGGCAAATCTTTAGTCCATTGAATCTTTCATCTTTCTTTTACTAATAGAACCATATTTTGGCATGTCAAAATATACAAGTAACAAGTTCGTATAATGCATGTTCTGTATAACATGGATGTTAACAGTGATACTTAACAAACAAATCAATCGTCATGCTTTATTTGATATTTTGACCCTATTACTACAACTAGTTATTTCAAAGCATAGCATTGTATATAAAGAACAAGTATTCCAGAATTTGACAATGCCATTAGTGGGTATGTGAATTTAGAATATATTTGTTTTTGATAAGTTTGCCACTGCACGGATGTGAACAAGAAAAATTGTCACTAGTTACAAAAATTGAATTAGGAAAAGATTTCACCTTGATTCTGAAAAACATTTTTTAACATTCATTAAAATTGTCCTGTAAATAATTTTTTACAAATGCATTAAATTTTCTACAAACGTCAAAGGTCAGTAGTGAGCATTATTTGTGCTATAGCCCTTTACATTAATTATTTTTTGAACTAATAAATCTGGCTATTTAATTATCATTTGAAGCGTTATTTTATATTTTGGAAGTAGTTCTGATTCGCAGTTACAATTGGAAGAAAATAGATTTTTTTTTATTACATTGATTAGCAAACATTTCAGTTTGATTACAAGTATGATGCTTGCAAAAAAGATTATCATTACTTCCCAAAACCAGTAATTCTATCACCCAAGGGAAACGGCTTGCTTCAAATTAAAAATCCTAAGTCAACATTCCAGATTCCGGGGATAAGTTTTAGCTAAGAGTTCTAAGCATTATATTTTCTCGTGAACCCTAAAATATAATGAAATGACCATTTTATATATGGATTAAAATAATGTGTTGGTAGAAAAATTGCATAAAAAAAAGAAAAAAGCAGTAATGGAAAATATTGTACAGTTACTTGTGGTCATGCTTCAAATGCAAATTTATTGCTATACAACTTACATAGAAGAAACAGCATTTTTGACTACAAAATTTTAGCAGTGTATAGTTCCAAATTGGACAATGAGAACAAGAATTTTGATTGAAAAACATGCAACCAATTTTTTAGAATATGTTTTGAAAACAAATTAGAAAAAATCAAGTTTGTTAAACATCAGAATTGAAAGTTCTGAAAATTCATTATTTATTATATTTTTCAGGCCCGTGACAAGTTGAAAGAAGAAAATGAAAAGCTCAGAAAGAAGTTGATAGCAAAAGATGAGAAAATCAAACTTTTAAAATCACAAATGGGGAGTATAAGGAACAATACACTGACTTATATCCTAGAACAGATGGACTCGTTAAAATCCCAGCGTCATACAGAAGTATGATACAGCAGGAATTGTTATAATATAAATGTCGTACAGAAGTACGAATTAGCAATAAATGATTTGTTACTGTTGAATCTTCTAAACAATCAAACAACTCTTTTATAGTTTTTTTAAGGACAAAACATTTTAAAGAAATGATTTTTATAGAGTAAGAAACCAGTCTAAAATCATGAATTTCATTTTAGTATACCATGGAGTATGTTGCCAAAAAACTTACAAACCCATAATGCACTATTCCCATGTGATAGAGGAATACCATTCATCCTAATATTGTGTTCAGATTATGTGTAAGGTGCATTTCTTCCAAATCTTATCAAAACATTGTGATGACTGTGAAGATGAACTTTGACCTTAACACTTGTTCTCTGCAAAAGAGTAAACAAATGAATTGTGTTTCTGTGCTACAAAACAGATGAAATGTGTATAGGAGAGAACAAAACATTTCCAAGTCCAGATGGAAAAATGTACATTTCCAATTCCAGAAAATGATTCCTAATGTGAATGGAAACCGATTATAGTTAGTGATGACCTCTGCAAGGGAGGATACTGTTATATCTATTAGTGATGACCTCTGAAAAGGAGGATACTGTTATATCTATTACCACATTACAAAATATATTTTGTATTTTTCTATTGATTTACAAAACATATACAGAAACCAGTCAGTCCAGTAATTGTGACAGGTGCTTCCTTTTTCACATAACAAAACCATGTTTATAGCAAAAACTGCTCTACCTTATGTATGTTGTTTGCGATTAATTATTCTATTCAGATTGTCACTGGAGCTGCAAAAAAAAATAAATTGATAAAAATTGCACTGACAGTTTTACTGTAAAACTGGCAAAGTCAACTGAATCAAACAGTTTTACTGTAAAACTGGCAAAGTCAACTGAATCAAACAGTTTTACTGTAAAACTGGCAAAGTCAACTGAATCAAACAGTTTTACTTGAAGAACAACAGTATCAGGTTTCAAACAAGCCTAAGTTGCAATATGAAAGAAATGACAAGTTGCAAGAAAATTTATAAAGGTAGAGCAGTGTTCATTGTAAAATGATTGAGATCGAGTTTCAGCTAAGTAAAAAAGTCTTTATAGAAGGAAAGTTTCAGTTATTAAGTCACTCTGCTTAATCTTTATAAATTTTAAAACTTCATTCTTTCTTCTTTAAAAAGAAAACTCAGGTTTGTCATTTGTCATTGAAAAAAGAATACTCAGTCTGTATAAAATGCAATCAAAATGTAAAAACTTGATGCAATGTTAACATTTCAATCATTTTTAAGGATAAAGATGCAACCAAGAAAACATATTGATGTTTATTTAAAAAACCGGTAGATGGTCTCAGCCAATTAGAGATGAAAAGATAACATCAATTTCAAACATTTTTACCTACATGTTAACTAATCAGAATTTTGTTATTTACAGTGCAAACTTGAGAGTTTCATTGCATGAGACTTTTAGTAAAAAAAGTTACATCTTTGTTGTTTGTAGATGCTTTTGAAATCAAATCAAAAGCACACCGGAATATAGAATAAACTATAGTTCTCAGATATCACCTGAAAAAATGGCATATATTGACAGAAAAAATACAATTGGCATGTTTTTATTAAACCTTATACAAGTGGAAATTAATTTCCTTGCTTTTAGTCAGTTCACATTTTTTTTTACCATAAATTATTCAAAAAATTAATGAGGTATTGAAATGATTGTTGCTCAGGTGGAACAACTAGTTTTAGGTGATGTGACCAAAGATCTTCTTGTTCCACCAAAGTAATGGTGGTTTTAATACCACATATATTTATTTAAGTTACTCAAAAAATTAAAATAGAAATTCCACATACAAGAAAATTGATCAACACTTATAGTACCTGAGAACTAGAAAATCAGTTTTACATCGCCTGATATTTTATATTTATAACGGATATTTTCATTAGGTTTTTGAAGCCCTGTCATTTTGTTACATGAAGAAAAAGGTCCAATTTTACTAGACACCTTAATGATAAAACATGATTAAAACCTATGGCTGTGATTCTGTTAATGTATATATGAATATAGCATTCCAGATTACAGAGTTGTGTCAATTTTGTGTATAATGAACAACTGTATCAGCACAAAGGAATTTCATAATTACCTCCCCTTAAGCAAATCTTATAAAATATACCTCACATGTACTAAATTTTGTCATGGTAAATCAGAGCAGTTGATATCTCCCTGAAAATAATTAGATGTGTCATCATTTATTATTTACTCAATCAAAAAGTTTAAACAGACCTGTGTGAAATATGAATTGTCCTCATAGGGGCTAAATTAAGGATGTTCGCTACTCTGTTTCAAAATAACAAGCTTTTTAAAAGACTGTTATAAATTGATAGTATATAAATGAAGGAACTAAAAAAGCAGAAAAAATGAAGGGTCCATGTGCTTGTTTTCGAGATATAAGCCATTGAAAATTTGGTGGGAAATGATTCTCTCTAGATTTTTCATACATTTATCATTCGCACCTTTTTCTTTCAAAAACAGTGAAAAAATAACAAGGATTTTATAAGATTTTCAAATATGGCTTTTTAGACTATGTAATAAAATTATGAGAAGAAAAGTAAGGATTAATGAGAAATTTTTTATTAGCACTACATGGATAAAACCAGAGGATTCCAAATATCTGACAAAAATTCAAAAACAAGAGGAGTGAACATCCTTAAATGAATGGATTGATGTGATATTGACTTCATAGACTTTTTGCTCCAGTGATATAACAACAAATTAAACATTATTTTATTCAGTTTGACCGTAGAAAATTCTGATGGACTATAAGGGAAACTTCTTTTCATGTAAAATGCCCTCCATGTTTTGTGTTTTTGGGTATTTTTCCTATCATATTTGCCAAGGCTCTATAAATATAAGTTTGGTTGACATCAGTTAGAAAGAAATGTCAAAGCAGCAATTGAAGCATATTGCCTTAGTTATTTTAACACCCTTTTAAGCAAACATTGTAATTTAAATAAAATCTGACAAATTTTAGAAAACATTTTTTTTTCTTCTCTACAATGTTAGTGCTTATACTGACAATCATTATATTGACTGTTGCATCGGTGGACCAAAATTCTGTGCAATATAGACTAAAGTAATGACTGGAGGAAAGCAGTTCTGATTTACCATAGACATACACTACATCCAATACAATTGGTATCTGTGTAAGAAATTACTCTGTGCTGTGTATATATTCATTGTAAATTTCCATTTATTGAATCATTCAAAATCAGTGGCTGTTTACCATATGTTAATTTGCTCAGACCAAGGTGATTAACTACATTCCAACGCTAAAATATATATAAAATGTTTTAAAAACTTTTTTCCATAAATTATTTATTTCAACCTAACATACTGTTTGTTAATTACCGATATAATAAAGATATTTTAAGGTTAGGGAAAGGGATTTAAAGTCTTACTTTAGTCCTTTGCAAAAACGTCAGTATGAAATTGATCTTCTGGCATACAGGAATTTGTTATTTTCTCATCAGAGTTTAGTGGTCAAGATATCTAAAACAAGACTGATCTGTCATGAATTCATCCAAAATTTTATATGTGTTAACTAATTTTCTTTTACAAAATGTAATTATTCAGTTCAATTTAAATCTGAAATCTTCCAAGAAGCAGATTGATTTTGGTACCGATTTATTTTTATTTAACTTTGGAATTTGTCAGTTGCAAATAAATTAGTTAACTTGTGTTTAAGTTTGGTATATATTTGTAAAGTAGGGAGAGGTAATAATAAACAAAGCATTCAAAAACATGTACTTGGGCAGTGTTCAAAATGATATAGAATTATGAAGTATTCCTTAATTTTGTCGTTGCTGGCTAATTTGCCTCGTTTCTATGTCAGACCTGGCAATCAAGCAGCTATTGTGATGTAAATTAATAATCATTGGTGACTGACAGCAGTTCTATAGGACTGACATATGACAAAGTCTAGTTGCCTGGAAAAAAGTAGAAGACTTAAGATAATTTTTATTATTATAAAACCAGAATTTTAAAAGAAACCTTCTAGATATAAGATATATTAGGATTTACTTTGTGTATGTAACCATTGAGATATTGTTTATCTATTTATGAAAAAATGTATTATTTTATCTTTAGTGCAACTTAGATATTTTTCTGATAACCCTGTTTTTAAGGTTTTTTTTCAATGATTTTTTCCTGTTGTTTATCTATAATTGTTTACTTTTTACTGTTTGAAACTTTATTACTGTTGAAAAAAATAAAACCTTTGTTCAAACCAATATTTTAGATAATAATTCTAGTCAATTTATCTTACTACACAAATATTGCTTTATTTATTTTTTATGACTAAAATATAATTTATTTTATTTTTATGTTAAGTTTTTTCATTATAAATTGAATAATGAGAAGCATATGTCCTTTATTCTGTGTAATATATTTTACTAGTTTTATTTACAGTCTAAAACTTTATTCCTCTAAAATTGCAATGTGGAATTATGTTTGACAGTTTTTATTTTGATGCCATTGGAACAATGGAAAAACCTGTAATTCCCCTCTAAAGAGCACCAATCAAGACTTGCATAAGTTTTACATATCAACTACAGTAAATGCAATACTCCTCAACTGCTTGATAAGAAAATTGGCAATTAAGTTTTAAACCTAATTAATAAAAGTAATTTACATTGGGTTATTGTCAAGATATGGTTTAATATTATTCAACGTTCTATTAATTGATGTGCATAAAAAGTACTAACTAGTCCAGGTTAAACAAAGGCCATTACAATGTGGTTTCATATTATTGTGATTCATGAGCATAAAAATAAAACTATATAAAGATGTAACAAGATTGTTTTGTGTAAAATATACTAGACAGTACGACTGTAATATGTACAAATGAATTTAGTGCTGACAAAAGGGGCTGGATCCCTTGGTATATATATATCATTACAGATGTTTTTTATACACTTGTAAATCTCATGCTATATGTTTATTTTGTTATTATGATTGTAAATATTATTATCATTTGTAAAAAATCATAAAATGGCCATTTGAAACATTCCGTGAGATCAGTATCTTTTTTTTTGTATATAAGTGTGTAGAACCATTCCAGAAAAATTGCAGTGACCAGTTGACCTCTCTCAAAAAATATGTGCAATTTTGATTATTATGTGTTCATATTCAAGTTTGTTGAAATATAAATCAGTCAATAGCTAAGGTATAGTAATCAAGACTTTCCAAAATAAAAAAAAATAAGAATTAAGTTCTACTGTTTATATGAATGACACTTTGTCATGATTTTTCTCTCCCTAAATGCCTTCAGAATAGTGACTTGGGGTGATTTAGTTTTTGATGTATAGTACATACACTTGTCCATCAGTGAAAATCAAACGCTAACCTACAATTGTCTATGGGTTTTTTTTATTGTTGTTGTTGGGTTGCTGTCTCATTGATGTTAACCCTACATTTCCTTTTATTCATAAAAAAAATTGAACATTCAGTAGGGAAACAGATTACCTTATACTTGTTGAAAATAACATGCCATTTCAAATGGGGAAATGGGTGGAAGATAACATTAAACATATTATAGATTGTTCACATATAGGAGAGAAGTAATAAAGCAGAATAGCACTTTTATTGCTGTTGTTCATCTTGAAAGTATATTGTTCAACAGAATAAGACCAACATACTTTGACCAAGCTAAAGACATCCCAAATGTGCTAAAACAGCAAAGTTGTGTTATACAGTTCTTGTAACCAAACATATTTCAGTTACGCCCAAAAATTTATAGGTGTTATGTAATTTTCTTGGAGTTGGTAAAGTTTTGAATTTAACATAGAGATATTGAAACCTCTGGTAGGTATTAAGATCAATATTGCCCAACTGAAACTGTTTGTTTCATTTGAATTTGCATTAAAATAAACCTGAGTTTCACCTGAGCAACTTGGGTCTCGAAATTGCATTTAAAACAGTCCATTGTAAAATAGTGAACACTTCCATAAGTTTTGGTGTAAAATGTTAAACAACCAAGGCTGAACCAATATTCTTCCAAGAGAAATCTTAAAATATATTAATTACAAAATAATATTCATGCAATTACAAGCATTTTAGAAATTAAGGCATTCTTATATTAAATCATATTTTTTTCTATTTTGGTCATGATTAATATGAAACACTACATTAAACCTTTAGCGATTCATATATTTATTTTAAACAGTAAAGTTATTAATTTAATGCCTTCTATGAGACAATCTGTGTTCTAAATTCTAATTCTTTTTTTCATTTTTTAAGAGAAAATTAAAGCTTCGTATCCTAACTTTAAGTCTTTCCAGTAAAACGCTTGTGTGGAACTCTCTCAATATGAACAGTCTAATACCTTATTTAATAATTAAAGTCAGTTTTAAAAAACCATATTAAAAACTGTAAATCAACCTGTTTTCACGTTTAGCCCTTTTCTGCCGATTTTGCTGCAATCTGCCTTCACAATTTTCTAAACTAGTTCATGTAATTAATTAAAAAATTGTCCAAGTTTGACATATTTGCCAATATTTATTTTCACATTATTTTTCTTGCAAAAATGAATCACTCGCAAATAATAGTTAGTTTACAATAATATGTGGACAATCAATCAAAAGGTTCAAAAAAGAAATTTATTTATAAATTATGGTAGCACCAATTATATTTATCAAAAATTAAAAAATATTTTAACCAAGAAATACATTATTTTACATTTATCAGGATAATCAACCTGTAAATTAGACCCTTTCCACAATAAATGATATACTGAATGGCAAAATAACACATTCCATTAAAATGAATAATCAACTTTGATTAGACAAAACTATATTAAGAGTGTCCATTTTTTTTTATCATATGAAATGTAGAACTGGAGAAACAATGAAATGGTGTATACAAAATACATGTAGTATAAACATGTAAGCAGTAGTGAACGTTTGAAAAAGTGTGTGTGTGTGTGTGTGGTGAATGAGTTGTGTGTATTTGGAAGTATAAATGTAACCATCTTTATGTATCTGAATGAGCTCAAAGCAGTGTTGTATTATCAAAGAGAGACATATGTAAAATTAAAAGCAATATTTGTTGTTATAGATCTATTTATTGTAATCTGTTTTTGAAAAAAAAGTCAAAATTTTCAAATGTTTATAAATTAAGTGAAAATCTTATTGATGTGCAAAACTTGTTTCAGACAAGGATCAAATAAAAGAAATATAAATAGACACTTGTTATTTTATACAGGAAAGTATAAAGCATTTGCAGGCAATCTGTAGGATATACCGTGGATTCATTATTATTCATGGTATCCCGATTTTCGTGGATTTCGTTGGAATAGGTTAACCACATATACATATATTCATCAAAGTTCAAATTTTCTATAGGCAGACTTTCAAGTTTGACAAAACAACAAAATCAAATATCAACGAAAGTACAAGTTTTCCTCAATCCAAGCAAATTGGTTCTCACGAAAATAGATGAATTTATAAAAAGTGATGCTACCATACTAAATATGATCAACAGGGTTTTCACTGTCTGTTGTTAGGACAATAAAACTATAGCAAAGTCAATAAAAGTAGAACATACGTTTCTAGCATTTTGTCTTTATTTTCTTTGTAGGATATTTTACTACTTCAAATGACTTTACCTAAACTGCAGAATAACCAAACACTCAATAGTGATTTTATTAAACATACAACATATGAAAATAAGAAGATGTGGTATGATTGTCTATGAGACAACTGTCCATCAAAGACCAAATGACATAGATGTAACTATAGTATAGGTCACTGTATGGCCTTCAACAGTGATTTATGACAAACCAATAAACCAATAACAGATATAATAGACAGCAACCAATAATAAACATTGAATTGTGTTCTTTATATAATGAACTGCCATGTCATATATAAATAAATGGTGAAAGGGTGCACTGCAACTAGATGATTTCCTTGATGGGTGTTTTTGCCTTCTTTTGACACTATTACATCATTAAACTCTTTCTTCAATATAATACAACACCATTTTAACAATTTGTTTTTTTCTATTGATTTAGCTTACTACATGAAACAGTCCATTTCTTTACTCATGAACCAAGTCTTTCTAGTTTTTCTACACACAATTTAAAAACATTAACTCAATCCCCCAGTTTTTGTGGGGTTCGTGTTGCTTAGTCTTTATTTTTCTATGTTCTGTCATCTGTACTATTATTTGTCTGTTTGTCTATTTATTTTTGGCCATGGCATTGTCAGTTTGTTTTCGATCTCTGAGTTTGACTGTCCATCTGGTATCTTTCGTCCCTCTGTTTTTTTTTGCTGGAAAATGTTGAGACAACAAGTTAATTTCTGAATCATTTATTTCTCCATAATTCTGTCACAGGTGAGACAACAAGCCAATGATTCAACTTCATTGCATGAAGTAATTTATCAGTCTTCAGAACTAGACACTGAAAGGATATCTAAACATTGATCACATGAACCAAAAGTCAGCTCAATTCTACAAGCCAAGGAAAACAGTATATCATAAAGTGCAATTTTATGAATTTTTATGGCCCTGCCAACTTTGGTCGGGGCCATATAGTTTTAATCTTATAAGTCATTCTGTCATTCCATCATTCTGCAACAAACAGTTATTTCCACGCTGCTGATTTTTTTCTCCAAAATTACAGTCTTTGGACATAGATATTTCATGAAAATAACATTTATACAGACTTTTCTAGACGCCTCCACATAATGAGCTGATTTTTAATATGTGAGTCTACTATGACGAGTTACAGATCAAGATTACATTTGTTTCCACTCCCCTGATTTCGGCCGAAATACAGGGCTTTTGACTTTGAAAATTTTGTAATAACAGTTATAGAGACTTTTTTTGAAAACGCCCTTCACATATTGAGCTGATTTTTAGTATGCAAGTCTACTATTTTACGTTTGGTTCTCTAAGCTGATTTTTGCAGAAATAACGCGCTTTTGCCTTTGAAAATTTCCATTCCTAAAAATGGCTTGGAGCTTTTTTTGGAGCATGGCCATTCATGTCATTCCAACACATCTAGTTTTTTAAATCTAATTAAAAGTGAGTCCAAAACAAAACACAGACACCATCTGTAACTCACCATTATAATCAAATTACCAAAACTCAGGTTATCACATAGTTTGTTTTTACATCAGAAATATGACGGGGGCCACATGTGAAGCAGGATCTGCTTACCCTACGGAAGCACCTGAGATTTTTGGTGGGGTTTGTGTTGTGTTTTGTATACTGTTATTTGACTTCTGTTGTTTTTTCGTTTTTAGAATAATGGACAGACATTGGTAAGATTATCTGCTCCAACCACTGACGGAAGAGGGGTTAAAACATCTCAAATATAAAGACTGAAGAAGATCAGTGTGTAAATTTTATTCTGATCTTTTTCTGTTTTATGTTTCACTCTTTGTAGTATGTTATGGACAAAGTGATTTCAGAAAAACTGACTAATATGAAGTTTAATAAATTAAACAAGTATATAAAAGTAATATCTAACAACTATTTTACAATATCTAAACAATTACAAAATTCTGCTACAAAACACAGGTACGAGGGTAAAACTAACACACAGAATATACAGGTTGTTACATAACATAAGCTGAGATACAAATTCCAACTCTTATTTTGTGATAAATATCCCTGAATTCACTATGAAAACAAAGATAAGGATGAGCTACTGGTACTTATTTCATAAATAAGACAGTAAAGGCTAAGGGTAAAAGAAATAACTAATAATGGAGTTTAATCATCCTCATTAGTTAGATATCAATTTAATGGGTTTATTCATTGTGCAGAAAACTTCAAAAAAAAATCTCCTGTTCATCCAATAGAATATTTGAGGCATCTGTGATTGATTGATTTTTTATTAACACCACAGTGGCATTTGTGACATGCCTTTAACATTTTCATCACTGATTTAAGGCTGAATTCTGTATGGTCAATTTCCAAATTTCTTCTCATAAGTATTACGATGTAAAATCTTTTCATATTTTAGCAATGCTATGGTAATTGCAATACAACAAAAATCCATAGATTTCTGAGTTGGTATGAAAACGTTCAAAATTGAAAATCAAAATGAACAAGATATACTGTGAGATATTACTCACTAATAATACATATACTCCCACTCAAGATATGTCCTGACAAACATAAAGTACGACATTGAAGGAACTGCAAACCTGTCACTGGGTTTGACACAACCAGATGAGTTTTGGTGTCATTTATCAAGAAGCTTTGACAAGCAGTTGCTGAGAAAAAAGAAATAAAAATGTGTTGCAGGCAGATCAACACATCTGGACAGTGGTTAAAAAGTATACCCCTCTAAGAATAATATATCTATAATATATGTACATATTGCATTCAATTGATCAATGCATGTATAATTAACATATAAAACATCAATTATAATATGTAAGAATTTATAATAAAATTTTCCCATTTTATATCATCTCCATAAATAAATGTCACATATTATACACATTACATGCATAAGTATACCCGTACATAATACCTGATAAAACATTTCTTAAAATATCTATTTCAAGTTTAAAATAATCTGAACAATTCCTGTTTTCCTTTTTATTTTTCATCGTTTTGCTGGACCACATATAACAGAATTAACAATGTATCTATTAAACATGACTTCAATTTGGATATTGTCACATGAGTTACACTACACACTTAATATATTTTTTTATCTAAAAAATATATATTCAAAAAGTTAGCATATTTGGAGGAATCCGACCTGAACTGGAACTAAAAAAAGGAAGAAAAATTTATAAAACATTAATAAGTATTTAAAGTAGGATGATGAACTATGTCTATCAAGACAGTCAAAATTGAGGCAAAGAAAACATTATTTCTTTGAAAAGAAATTTGTTAGAGTATTTACATTTTCAGTTTTCTTCAATTTGTTTTTAGGCTTTGTAGGAGAAGTGACACTCTTTCTCTTTATTGGGAATTTATTACTTTGTATATTTTCCTCTCTGAACTCTTTCTGTATTTCCTGAGCAAAATGAAAATCCATATGTTCTGGAAGTTCCCAAACTATTATCTCTTTCCCACATTTTTCACATGAAGTCAGATCTGATTGATTTTTTGGATTTTCTGTTTTCTCTTGTGTACTCTGCTGAAAAAATGTATCAAGACTTGATCTCTTCTTTTCTTCTTGTTTTAAATTTACTTTAGGCTTGCTTTTCATATTTTTTCTTATCTCATGCTGAATATCTAAAGGCAATGACATAAAAACTTCCTCATCCAAATTATCTATTGATGTAGGAGCACCATCATTAACATAAATACCATTTGGAATACATGATGTTTCAATGTCTATCACTTCAGAATGAACAATTTCTGAATTATCTCCTGTTTTGGCTGAATCATTGCTGTTCGCTGACTTAATACTATCACATGAGCTTTCATTTACATCAATTACATTGGAGCTTACTGAATTTTTTCTAAGTTTAGAAACAAAAAAGCCTGACTTCTTACTCAAATTAAGGTTTGTTACTGATTCTGTTTTAATAGTCTCTGATCCTTTGTGAATACTTAAATCAACTGAATTATCATTACTTAAATCAATAGAACTTGATTCATGACTAAGGTCCACACAAAATGTTGATGGTTCAGTTTTCAAAGGAGCTATGTCTGAACTATTACCAATGGACTGTTTTTTTCTAAACAAAGCTTGTATGCCATTTTCTTGTATTTTATTTTTTTGAGATGATGTACCGCTTGAAATAGTTGGTTCACTTTTAGGGGATTCTTCTTTGAGATTTTTAGTTTTAAAGAATGACTGAATTGAACCCTTTGGTGATGATTCTTTGTTTGATTGAGACAAAACTGGAGCTTTGTCAACTGATTCAGATTTCTTTCCAAGGAATGAAGATATATTTGACTGGTTTTTATCCTGAAATTCTACAAACTTTCCTGCTGATATACCTAAGCATGTGATAGGTGGAGACCTGGAAATAAAAATTTACAAAATTATCGTTAGGATCAGATTCATATAAATTCATTTTAAAGTTGTACGAAACAAGTTTCTGGTAATTATAATGAAAAGAAAATTATTTAACCAATACATGCATATATACATGCATATATACTAAACTAAGTCCTCTGCACACATTTTTCTTTTTACATTTATTAGGAATCCACAATGTATAATTGACAATCAATATTTAATTGGATGATTGATTATCCCAAACTTTGGTTGCTTATTATCATTCAGATTTTTTTTTAGAATCTTTCCTTTCAGGTTTGTTTAAGAAATAATTCATGGAAGCCATAGATTTGTTGGACATTTACACATGGCCTGGGCCGTGCTTTCGAATTTTATCCTGAGCGTTAGCGAGGGATAAAATTAACGAATATCACGGCCCAGGCCATGTGTAAATGTCCAACAAATCTATGGCTTCCATGAATTATTTCGATTTTAATAGGACAAATACGGTAATTTAAAAACTGAAGCAAAGGTAAGATTGCCGTGTGTATGGCTGCTCTATTTTACCCCCTGTAAGATAAAAGCTACAAATTTCAAATAAATCTAAGTCTTACATGAATTATTTCTCAAATAAGCACTATAAAAAATGTGTTCAATTCTCAAAATTCTTAACCCAAACACTTTTTTTTTGTTGGCTACTATTTACTGTCAAATCCACAGTTGACATGTCGTAACTAAGGAAAAAGCCGCCATGTTGACTTGCTGAAATCCACAAATGTGCAAATAATGCAATGGAATAGAAAATGAAACAACACCTACCTCAAAACTCCATTTTAATGCAATATTATCCTAATTTAGGGCGTATATGTAACGGAAAACCATCAGCTTGAGAGTTTTTCATTCGTATGACGTCATGTTATGACATGATGTTAATGCGCCAAGATTATTCATGAAATTTCACGGAATTTTATTTTATTTTGATTTTATACATTTTTTAAGCTCTTGTGCATTAATTATTTTTGTTATGCATTATAATAGGAATAACGGTTCTGTAGTTTCTTTTTCAATTTCAATTTGAACACAACGAAATCGACATAGTGTTTGCACATAGGTTACGATACATGTGGATTTACGTGGGAGGTAAATAGTAACAGCCACCAATATTTACATCTCTGAGTCTGCGCTAAGTATAGATATATCGAGAATTTTATCACGGTGTTGTTTACAAAGCGAAAGAAGCACGTCATATTAGAATTACTTGTTCTTCCATCACTGTTTTTCCCTTCACACTTGTGCATTGTGATTGCCAAATTTCTAATGTGAGTTTTCATGTTAAGGTCACTGCATACGGAAAAAGCTGTTGGCAAATTTAAGTACAGGAAGACAATAATTCAAGAGAAAAACTTTACTTGAAGATTTAGATAAAATAAAGGATTTATGATAAAATAAAGGATTCATGGTCAAAGAAAGTATGTGAACACTTGTTTTTGAACAAAAATTAGCCATTCAGCTGGATAAAACATATTAATCTTTTCAGTTAAATTTGAAGGATCAAATGAAGCTGGTAGTATAAAAACTTCTTAACATTGCTATTCTCATGCAACTTTTGAGACATGTCCATACATGTGTAAGGTCCTTAATAAATATTTCCAGTGGCTCAAACATGAATATTTATTGATCTGACAAAGATTTCATTCATTTTTTTTTAAAACCTTATCCGGTGAAATTTTGTGTCAGTGGTTTCAATTAGTAGTTGACACAGTGTTTTACCTGTTACATTGTTCAAATAATATGTTTTATCAATTTATTTTAAGTCAAAATGTTGAGTTCAACATGATATAATTCATTAATGTTAAGATCTAATAAGTTTGGGAAAAGAATACCTCCCAAATTTTGTTTTTGAAAATTGTCAGGAGAATCAGGAAATTTTAAATTTTGTGTGGCCAAAAATACAGTTTTAACACATTTTGTAAATCTAGATTTGCATGTGAACACTTCTGCAAAGGGATCTGTTATTGTTTTTATCAAATGGAGATATAGAAAACAATATCCATAAGACTTCTTACCAAGCTGATTGATATAATGGTAGCGTGTTAAGCTTCTGTATCAAAGTGAAGGCATCACCAGCAAACTTCTGAGCATCATATCTTACTACAGCACATGCTCTAGAGACAGAGATGGATGATGGTTTAGCTAAATACCTCACGCTAACTGTTAATGACTTAGCACTTCTGTTGTTCTGAATAAAAAACAAATCACAATTTGATCAGAATAATTCAGCCTTCCTGCGCTACTGCTACTCATTAAATAAATAAATGTGGATAGTGTCCACATGTGGACACAGATGATGCCCCCGCTTGCATATCATATAGTTATAAAGGGACATAATTGAAGAACGGTAAAAGTGACGCTACCCAAATTTGAACTTGATCTGAGTTTTGTGGTAATAAGCATTTTGTGTAAGTCTCATAACATTTGGTTGAGGCTAACTTAAGTAGAGAACAGAAACTAAAAATTCAGCAATTTTTCTATTTGTAAACACGCATAACTCTAGAACGGTTGTGTATAAGTTTTATAACATTTGGTTGAGACAAACTAAAGTTAGAAAACGGAAACAAAAAATTTGTACTTGATCTTAGTTTTGTGGTAATGAATATTGTATATAGGTTTCATAATGTTTGGTTGGGGCAAACTTAAGTTACAGAATGGAAACTAAAAATTTTGCAATCTTTCGATTTATAAAGGGGCATAACTCAATAATGGTTAAAGTGACACTACCCAAATTCAACTTGATCTGTGTATTATCAGTGGAAGTCAAAATTAAACATTGCATTGTATAAAGCATTGATTGTAGTTGATTCAACTATAATCATGGACAAAGGAAGATAACTCCAATTTTAAAAATTACTTGATATTTAGACGAAAATAAAAATTTAGCAATTTTTCCATTTATAAAGGGGCATAACTCTAGAACAGTTAAAGTGACGCCACCAAAATTCAAACTGGATCTGTGTTTTGTGGTAATAAGCATTGTGTATAAGTTTCATAACATTTGGTTAAGGCAAACTTAAGTTAGAGACTGAAACTAAAAATTTTGCAATTATTCCATTTATAAAGGGGCATAACTCTAAAATGGTTAAAGTGACGCCACCAAAATTCAAACTTGATCTGTGTTTTGTGGTAATAAGCATTGTGTATGAGTTTCATAACATTTGGTTGAGGCAAACTTAAGTTAGAGAATGGAAACTAAACATTTTTCAATTTTTCCATTTATAAAGGGGCATAACTCTAGAACGGTTAAAGTGACGCCACCAAAATTCTAACTTGATCTGTGTTTTGTGGTAATAAGCATTGTGTATAAGTGTCATAACATTTGGTTGAGGCAAACTCAAGTTAGAGAAAGGAAACCAATTTTGGGACGTACGTACGTACAGACGGACAAGGGTAAAACTTAATGCCCCCACGGCTACGGCGGGGGCATAAAAATGGATGTGACGTCAAAGGGCTGGGTTGAAGAGAATGTTTCTCAAACAATGGTGAATGGTCTATAATGAACATTTACCTATATGGTAAAAAGACAAGAAAAACAAGGGAGGGGGATCTTTAAACAACTCCATAATGGGGAAATGGGTGGAGCATAGTTTAAATAGGTAGGCAAACATTATGTGATGTCTTATGAAATTTTGCTGAAGGAATCTCAAAATTCAACAAGTCTACAAAAATGAGAATGAATCCCTTAAACAATTCCATAATAACAGGTGCACAACTTCAATATGTATTCATTCTTTCTATAAAGTTAAAAGGATCTAGGTCGAAAACTCTAGGATGATTTCATAATGTTAAATTGGTACTCTCTTTTGTAAATTTTGCTGAAAATGATGAAAATTGTTCAAGCTATTCGATAGTAACAGGTGCACAACTTCAACAATTGTGTAATATTTCTTTACAGTTTCAGGAACTAGGTTGAAATTGGTACACTTCATTAAGCTACATATTTCTGTTGGTCTAATGTAAAACTATTTGCCCTCTTGGCAACAGTGTGTTAGCATATTTCATTATATTACAAATATCGTTATATTTAGATTATCTGTTTTGCTTACATCTTCTCTGTCTTTATCTAATCTTTCCACAACTTCTTCAGACAACTCTTTCAACCAGTGCTGAACCTGATAACAATCAAATTACTACAGGTAGTCACAGTATAACATGGTATAATGACAGTACATTTCAAGGCAATTTTTCAGTCTACATGTAAACTTGTGACCTAAATTAAGTTATAAGGCTGAGTTAACAAAAAGTTATAGATTGTTTTAAGCTTGGACAGAATGTAGTTCATATCAAACTCCTTTACTACCTTTAGTTACTTTTTCTAAAAATGTGGATTTTTTTGGAAAGTTCTAGGTTCTGTTTCACTCTCTTGTAAAGACTTATTTTTCACTGCTTAAGACATTTGCTGTGGTTTTTTAAACAAGAGGCTCTCAAGAGCCTGAATCGCTCACCTGTATTTCAGAGGAGAAGATTTTTAAATGTTAGCAAACTTGAAGAACAAATTGTGTAAAATTGTCTTTAAAGGGCAATAACTCCTTAAGGGGTCAATTGACAATTTTGGTCATATTAACTTTTTTGTAGATCTTGCTTTGCTGAACATTATTGCTGCTTACAGTTTATATATATCTATAATAATATTCAAAATAATAACAAAAAACTGCAAAATTTTGTTAAAACTACCAATTCGGTGGCAGCAACCCAACAATGGGTTGTTCGATTCGTCTGACAATATCAGGGCCGATAGATCTTGACCAATTAAACAATTTTACTCCATGTCACATTTGCTCTAAAAGATTTAGTTTTTGAGATATAAGCCAAAAACTGCATTTGACCCTTATGTTCTAGTTTTAGCCATGGGGGCCATGTTTGTCGATGGATCAAAACTTCGGATACAATTTATAAACAAGATACCCTAAGTAACATTTATTTAAAGTTTGAAGGTAATTGGCCCAGTAGTTTCAGAGGAGAAGATTTTTAAATGTTAGCAAACTTGATGAACAAATTGTGTAAAATTGTCTTGAAAGGGCAATACCTCCTTAAGGGGTCAATTGACAATTATGGTCATTTTATCTTTTTTCTACATCTTACTCTGCTGAACATTATTGCTGCTTACAGTTTATATATATCTATAATAATATTCAAAATAATAACAAAAAAATGAAAAATTTGTTAAAACTACCAATTCGGTGGCAGCAACCCAACAATGGGTTGTTTTCGATTCGTCTGAAAATTTCAGAGCTGATAGATCTTGACCAATTGAACAATTTTACCCCATGTCAGATTTGCTCTAAAAGCTTTAGTTTTTGAGATACTAGAGGATCTCAAGAGCCTGTGTCGCTCACCTGACTCTACTTTGGTTTTAGAAATCATGTAAAGATAGATAAAAATCATAACAGATACCCAAATAATGATTGAGGCCAAATTTTGATTAATATTGGTCCTGTTATTTAATAAAATATCCTGGTAGCCATCTTGAACAGTAAATCGGCAACAAAGTAGCAACACTTGGTCAGCACTTCATAAGGAACATTCATGCCATGTTTGGTTTCATTTCATTCAGTGGTACTCTAAAAGTAGACATTTGTATGTATTTCCCATAGGGTCCTATGTTAAACTAAGCCCCCCCCCCCCCCCCCCCTAGCAGCCATCTTGGATGATGGATCGACTGCAAAGTAACAACACTTGGTCAGCAACTCATAAGGAACATTCATGCCATGTTTGGTTCCATTCCATTCAGTGGTTCTCTAAAAGAAGACAATTGTATGTATTTCCCATAGGTCCTATGTTAAACTAAGTCCCCCGCTGTCGGCCATCTTAGATGATGGACCGACTGCAAAGAAACAACACTTGGTCAGCACCTCATTAGGAACATTCATGCCATGTTTGGTTTCATTCCATTCAGTGGTTCTCTAAAAGAAGACATTTGTATGTATTTCCCATAGGGTCCTATGTTAAACTAAGTCCCCCGCTGGCGGCCATCTTGGATGATGGATCGGCTGCAAAGAAACAACACTTGGACAACACCTCATAAGGAACATTCATGCCATGTTTGGTTCCATTCCATTCAGAGGTTCTCTAAAAGAAGACATTTTGTATGTATTTCCAGTAGGGTCCTATGTTAAACTAAGTCACCCACTGGCAGCCATCTTGGATGATGGATCGGCTGCAAAGTAACAACACTTGGTCATCACCTTATAAGGAACATTCATGCTATGTTTGGTTTCATTCCATTCACTGGTTCTCTAAGAGAAGACATTTGTATGTATTTCCCATAGGGTCCAATGTTAAACTAAGTCCCCCGCTGTCGGCCATCCTGGATGATGGACCGACTGCAAAGTTACAACACTTGGTCAGCACCTTATAAGGAACATTCATGCCATGTTTTGTTTCATTCCATTCAGTGGTTCTCTAAAAGAAGACATTTGTATGTATTTCCCATAGGGTCCTATGTTCAACTAAGTCCCCCGCTGGCGGCCATCTTGGATGATGGACCGACTGCAAAGTAACAACACTTGGTCAACATCTCATAAGGAACATTCATGCCATGTTTGGTTCCATTCCATTTATTGGTTCTCTAAAAGAAGACCTTTTGATGTATTTCCCAAAGGGTCCTATGTAAAACTAAGTCCCCCGCTGGCGGCCATCTTGGATGATGGATCCGCTACAAAGTAACAACACTTGGTCAGCATCTCATAAGGAAGATTCATGCCATGTTTGGTTTCATTCCATTCAGTGGTTCTATTAAAGAAGACATTTGTATGTATTTCCCATAGGTCCTATGTTAAACTAAGTCCCCTGCTGTCGGCCATCTTGGATGATGGACCGACTGCAAAGTAACAACACTTGGTCAGCACCTCATAAGGAAATTCATGCCATGTTATGTTTCATTCCATTCAGTGGTTCTCTAAAAGAAGACATTTTTATGTATTTCCCAAAGGGTCCTATGTAAAACTAAGTCCCCTGCTGGCGGCCATCTTAGATGATGGATCCGCTACAAAGTAACAACACTTGGTCAGCATCTCATAAGGAACATTCATGCCATGTTTGGTTTCATTCCATTCAGTGGTTCTATTAAAGAAGACATTTGTATGTATTTCCCATAGGTCCTATGTTAAACTAAGTCCCCTGCTGTCGGCCATCTTGGATGATGGACCGACTGCAAAGTAACAACACTTGGTCAGCACCTCATAAGGAAATTCATGCCATGTTTGGTTTCATTCCATTCAGTGGTTCTCTAAAAGAAGACATTTGTATGTATTTCCCATAGGTCCTATGTTAAACTAAGTCCCCTACTGGCGGCCATCTTGGATGATGGACTGACTGCAAAGTAACAACACTTGGTCAGAACCTCATAAGGAACATTCATGCCATGTTTGGTTTCATTCCATTCAGTGGTTCTCTAAAAGAAGACATTTGTATGTATTTCCCATAGGGTCCTATGTTAAAACTAAGTCCCCCGCTGGCGGCCATCTTGGATGATGGACCGACTGCAAAGTAACAACACTTGGTCAGCATCTCATAAGGAACATTCATGCCATGTTTGGTTCCATTCCATTCAGTGGTTCTCTAAAAGAAGACATTTTTATGTATTTCCCATAGGGTCCCATGTTAAACTAGGTTCCCCGATGGCGGCCATCTTGGATGATGGATCTGCTACAAAGTAACAACACATGGTCAGCACCTCATAAGGAACATTCATGCCATGTTTGGTTTTATTCCATTCAGTGGTTCTCTAAAAGAAGTCATTTGTATGCATTTCCCATAGGGTCCTATGTTAAACTAAGTCCCCCACTGGCGGCCATCTTGGATGATGGATCAGCTACAAAGTAACAACACTTGGTCAGCACCTCATAAGGAACATTCATGCCATGTTTGGTTTCATTCCATTCAGTGGTTCTCTAGAAGAAGTTCAAAATGTAAAAAGTTAACGCCAACGACGGACAACGCCGGACGACGCTGGACGACGGACGAAGGACGCCAAGTGATGAGAAAAGCTCACTTGGCCCTTCGGGCCAGGTGAACTAATAAGCCAAAAACTGCATTTGACCCCTATGTTCTATTTTAAGCCATGGTGGCCATGTTTGTCGATGGATCGAAACTTTGGATACAATTTATAAACTAGATACCCTAAGGAACATTTAATTAAAGTTTGAAGGTATTTGGCCCAGTAGTTTCAGAGGAGAAGATTTTTGAAATAGTTTACGACGACAGACGATGACGACGATGACAGATGACGACGGACGCCAAGTGATTGCATAAGCTCACTTGGAGCCCTTCGGGCCCCAGTGAGCTAAAAACTGCAAAATTTTGTTAAAACTACTAATTCGGTGGCAGCAACCCAACAATGGGTTGTTTGATTCGTCTGATTATTTCAGGGCCGATAGATCTTGACCAATTAAACAATTTTACCCCATGTCACATTTGCTCTAAAAGATTTAGTTTTTGAGATATAAGCCAAAAACTGCATTTGACCCTCATGTTCTATTTTTAGCCGTGGCAGCCATGTTTGTCGATGGATACAAACTTTGGATACAATTTATAAACAAGATACCCTAAGGAACATTTAGTTAAAGTTTGAAGGTAATTGGCCCAGTAGTTTCAGAGGAGAAGATTTTTAAATGTTAGCAAACTTGATGAACAAATTGTGTAAAATTGTCTTTAAAGGGCAATAACTCCTTAAGGGGTCAATTGACAATTATGGTCATAATAACTTTTTTGTAGATCTTACTTTGCTGAACATTATTGCTGCTTACAGTTAATATATATCTATAATAATATTCAAAATAATAACAAAAAACTGCAAAATTTTGTTAAAACTACCAATTCGGTGGCAGCAACCCAACAATGGGTTGTTTGATTCGTCTGATTATTTCAGGGCCGATAGATCTTGACCAATTAAACAATTTTACCCCATGTCACATTTGCTCTAAAAGATTTAGTTTTTGAGATATAAGCCAAAAACTGCATTTGACCCTCATGTTCTATTTTTAGCCGTGGCAGCCATGTTTGTCGATGGATACAAACTTTGGATACAATTTATAAACAAGATACCCTAAGGAACATTTAGTTAAAGTTTGAAGGTAATTGGCCCAGTAGTTTCAGAGGAGAAGATTTTTAAATGTTAGCAAACTTGATGAACAAATTGTGTAAAATTGTCTTTAAAGGGCAATAACTCCTTAAGGGGTCAATTGACAATTATGGTCATAATAACTTTTTTGTAGATCTTACTTTGCTGAACATTATTGCTGCTTACAGTTAATATATATCTATAATAATATTCAAAATAATAACAAAAAACTGCAAAATTTTGTTAAAACTACCAATTCGGTGGCAGCAACCCAACAATGGGTTGTTCGATTCGTCTGAAAATTTCAGAGCTGATAGATCTTGACCAATTGAACAATTTTACCCCATGTCAGATTTGCTCTAAAAGCTTTAGTTTTTGAGATATAAGCCAAAAACTGCATTTAACCCCTATGTTCTATTTTTAGCCATGGCGGCCATGTTTGTCGATGGATCAAAATCTTTGGATATAATTTATAAACTAGATACCCTAAGGAACATTTATTTAAATTTTGAAGGTATTTGGCCCAGTAGTTTCAGAGGAGAAGATTTTTTAAATAGTTTACGACGACGACGGGGCCCCGGTGAGCTAAAAACTTTCACCTTACAGTAAGATCAAAAACAAAAACATGCGCTGTCAGGTTAAGCATACCCCAACTTGTATCAGAAAACAGTATTAAGCATGGGACAGATCTGAAAAGCACTCGCACAAGTCTTCACTGTCAAGCTGTTGACCAAATATGAAACCAATTAAAAACTTGACCAATGAACTATGAAATGAGGTCAAGGTCAGATGAACCTTGACAGACAGACTTGTATCTAATATATAATTATTGAGAAATCACATAGTATAAAGCTATATAGTTGTTGGGGTAAAGATTACATGAAATGCAATCAAAATCCTTAAGGTACTGACTTGATATATATATCTTCCAAGGTTTATCATTACCTTTGACAGTTCAAACAAAATAGTGCAGTGAAGTGATCATTCTTTAGATCCTATCCACTCAATGTCATGCAATTTATTGATGAATTTTTATACTTAGATTTTTAAGTTACAATATGATGTGTATTTGAATAACCATACTTGTCAAGTTTTATATTTAAATTACAAAAAGTACTGCATGGCATATGAATCTGTTATACAAATAGTTTAAACTACAAATGTACAATCATGAACAAAGGAAGATAACTCCAACTCAAATTTTTAATTTGCCTAGCAAAATACATATTTCCATGTTTTATTTTAAATTCATAAAATTGCATCATGAAAGCAATCTTTACCCTTCAGTACTCACAAGCACTATGAATAAAGCAGTCAATGAACCGTGAAAATGAGGTCAAGAAGAACAGACATGTGCCAGATGGAAACTTTGTAACATAAGGCATCAGTATACAAGATAGGAAGTGTCCAGGACTTCTACCTTCTGAAATATAAAGCATTAAATACAAATAGTCATAACTGGACAAGCATTATCTATTTCTAGAGAGACAAAAACCTATATTTGCAATATTTAATACATGTATAATAACCTTTTCTTTTGTATCAAGACAAGTTTTTCCTTGAAAGTTTTTACTACATCCAATAGATTTAGGTAGCTGTCTGGCTGATACTTGCTCTTGTTCTATTCCTCTACACACTTCATAGATCCAATGGCTGAAATTAATCAGCATTATATCAAATACTGAAAATTTTACAATCTTATTATCCCATATAACTTTATTCTTGAAGTACATTTTGCATTTATACATGTATCGGATTAGGATTTGTGTTTTGCTTTTTAAAGAAAATCAAACACATTTTGAGTGGCATATTGGTTGGCATGATGCCTCTTGTCTTAAGTTCAAATTGAGAATTCTGTACCATCACCATGTAATCAATAAACAAGAGTGCAGACACTGAAATGTCTCGCCGGCTTTACTGACCATTGATTTTATGTTGAGAGTCCTAAGTATAAAGCTTTACTACGAGTATCACATACACTTAACATGATCCAAGAAGATGAGGTCAAGGTCAGATAAACCAAGCCGGAAATACATGTACACCTTTAATACAATCCCTCCATACACAGAATATAGATGACCTATTGCTTATAGTATAAAAGAAACAGACCAAACCATGGAAATTCTATATTGACCAATGAACCATGAAAATGAAGTCAAGGTCATTTGAACCCTGCCAGACAGACATGTACACATTAAAATCATTCCAAATATAGTTGACCTATTGCTTAAGGTATCTACGAAAAAAGTTAACCAGGAAAACTGAACATTGACCAATCAACCATGAAAATGAGGTGAAGGTCAGATGATACCTGCCAGACAGACATATACACCTTACAATCATTCCATACACCAAATATAGTTGACCTATTGCTTAAAGTGTAAGAAAAACAGACCAAAACACAAAAACTTAACATAAGCAATGAACCATGAAAATGAGGTCAAGGTCGAATAAAACATGCCAGACTGACATGTACATCATTAAATATTTCCATACACCAAATACAGTTGACCTATTGCATACAGTATTAGAAAAACAGACCAAAACACAAAAACTAAACTATGACCACTGAACCATGAAAATGAGGTCAAGGTCAGATGACACCTGCCAGTTGGACATGTACACCTTACTATCATTACATACACAAAATATAGTAGACCTATTGCTTATAGTATCTCAGATATGGACTTGACCATAAAAACTTAGCCATGTTCACTGATCCATGAAATGAGGTCGAGGTCTAGTGAAAACTGTCTGACGGGCATGAGGACCTTGCAAGGTACGCACATACCAAATACAGTTATCCTATTACTTATAATAAGAGAGAATTTACAATTCCAAACAATCTGAACTTTTTTTTTCAAGTAGTCACTGAACCATGAAAATGAGGTCAAGGACATTGGACATGTGACTGACAGAAACTTCGTAACATGAGGCATCTATATATAAAGTAAGAAGCATCAAGGTCTTCCACCTTCTAAAACATAAAAGCTTTTAAGAAGTTAAATAACGCCGCCGCCGCCAGATCACTATCCCTATGTCGAGCTTTCTGCGACAAAAGTCGCAGGATCGACAAAAAACTAAACACTGAGCAATGAACTGTGAAAATGAGGTCAAGGTCAAGGTCAAATAAAACCTGCCAGACTGACATGTACATTGTAAAATATTTCCATACACCAAATATAGTTGACCTATTGCATATAGTACTAGAAAAAAAGACCAAAACACATCATTATGGTGGGGATACCTTAAAGGTATCTAATTTAGTACATATATCGACTGCTTTACTACTAACTATCATGATCATGATTATGACTATACAGCATTAATGAGTTATTGGAATAACCTGATTGATTTGCCAAACAAAAAAGCCAAGGCATTGAAGCATCTGTGATTTTGAACTTGTAAAATCAAATAAGCTTACTGATTCAGAACAACAAAACATGAATTATACCAGTACTACTGTGGATTCATTTATTTTCGTGTTTACCAATTTTTGTGAATTGAGGAAAACTTGCATATTCGTGAATATTTGATTTCGTGGTTGTCCCCAAGTCTGCATACAACCTTACAGAAAATTTGTGATTCATTGAACATTTAAATTTGTGGTCCATCTGTACCCACAAAATCCACAAAAATTGGTATCCAACGAATAATGTATCCATAGCATATAAAATTCAATCAATTTCTATCAATTCTAGCTATTCTTTAATAAACTTACCCAGTTTTATCTCCAAAATTATTTTGTAGTTCTGTTAAAGGAAACTTTACCAAATCTCCAATAAATTCAACATTTAGTTCTTCCACCAAGGATTCACCCAGTTTGCCCCCAAGATTTCGTCTGAAAATACATTTACTGTGATAAGCAAACTGTTTAAGGGCCAATCTGCCTAAGATTCAGGCAGTAGTGGAAACATGACAAACAAAAACCTGCTAATCATTAATTCATGTTCAAGTTGTATAATGGTGCAAGAATAACATTCGTTTTCCATTTCCTGTTCTGGTATTTCAAGATAATATGAGGCAGGCATTACTTGTGAAAGGGGACGAAGTCTATATAAATTTTTTTTTTTAATTCAAACATATTTTAAGTTCTAAATCTTTTAACTAGAGGCTCTAAAGAGCCTGTGTCGCTCACCTTGGTCTAAGTGCATATTAAACAAAGGACACAGATGGATTCATGACAAAATTGTGTTTTGGTGATGGTGATGTGTTTGTAGATCTTACTTTACTGAACATTCTTTCTCCTTACTATTATCTCTATCTATAATGAACTTGGCCCGGTAGTTACAGTGGAAAATATATTGTAAAAATTTACAAAAATTTACAAAATTTATGAAAATTGTAAAAAATTGACTATAAAGGGCAATAACTCCTTAAGGGGTCAATTGACAATTTTGGTCATGTTGACTTATTTGTAGATCTAACTTTGCTGTACATTATTGCTGTTTACAGTTTATCTCTATCTATAATAATATTCAAGATAACCCAAAACGGCAAAATTTTCTTAAAATTACCAATTCAGGGGCAGCAACCCAACAACGTGTTGCTTGATTGGTCTGAAAATTTCAGGGCAAATAGATCTTGACCTAATGAACAATTTTATCCTCATCAGATTTGCTCTAAATGCTTTGGTTTCAGAGATATGAGCCAAAAACTGCATTTTACCCTATGTATTATTTTTTAGCCATGTCGGCCATCTTGGTTCGCGGGCGGGGTCATCGGACACATTTTTTAAACTAGATACCCTAACGACGATTGGGGACAAGTTTGGTTAAATTTGTTTTAGTAGTTTCAGAGGAGAAGATTTTTGTAAAGGATTACAAAAATTTACGAAAAATGGTTAAAAACTGACTATAAAGGGCAATAACTCCTTAAGGGGTCAACTGACCATTTTGGCCAAGTTGACTTATTTGTAGATCTTACTTTGCTGAACATTATTGCTGTTTACAGTTTATCTCTATCTATAATAATATTCAAGATAATAACCAAAAACGGCAAAATTTCCTTAAAATTACCAATTCAGGGGCAGCAACCCAACAACGGGTTGTCCGATTCATCTGAAAATTTCAGGGCAGATAAATCTTGACCTAATAAACAATTTTACCCCATGTCAGATTTGCTCTAAATGCTTTGGTTTCAGAGATATAAGCCAAATTCTACATTTTACCCCTATGTTCTATTTTTAGCCATGGCGGCCATCTTGGTTGGTTGGCCGGGTCACCGGACACATTTTTTAAACTAGATACCCCAATGATGATTGTGGCCAAGTTTGGTCAAATTTGGCCCAGTAGTTTCAGAGGAGAAGATTTTTGGTAAAGATTACGGACGACGGACGACGGACGCAGGACGACGGACGACGGACGCAAAGTGATGAGAAAAGCTCACTTGACCTTTCAGGTCAGGTGAGCTAAAAAAGAAACGGAAATACCGTAACGTTTCCGATTTTGGTTCTGTTGTTAGGGATTTTAGTTGTGACGTTATTTTAGTTATGACGTCATATTCAATGTAAACAAAGAAACGCTATCATCAGGTAATGTTTTTTCATATCAAAGAATAATTAGAAATGAAACTGTTATTGTGTTCCTTCCTATATTTTACTGGACTGATAAATATATATTTCACTCAAAGTCTCATGAGAAACGAGACCGGAAGAAGGAAGTAGATTTCTGCACAAATGTGGGAATTAAAAAAAGTTACAAAAAAAAAGTTAACGATTTTGAGTTAATTAGTACAATGAAAATTTCGGGAAATTTTCCTGATTTTTTTTTTTTTTTTTTTTTTTATTGATTTTTCTACTGTAATAGGGGACTTCGTCCCCTTATAATTTGGTTGAAATGCACAAGAAATTGACAATTAAGGGGAACTAACTGCGTAATTTGCTATCATTTGAACCAAAAGGTATCTTAAGAGATTTCTCGAATAACCAGACATGCAGAAACGAAAAACCTACCACTTCTAACTCACGATGAGGGCATCTTCAATGCAGGATAGTTAGGTCGGTGGGTTTTTTTTTCAGCCTTGTTTGGAAATTCTTCTAAATTGCCTGATTCTAACAGAGACTGGCACTTAAAACCTAAATCTGTACTCAATAGATAAATGATTACTGTGTTCGAGAAAATTTCACTAGAACAAGTTTTTATTTGAAAAGGTTAGTTAAAACAAGTACAAATATTGACCTATTCAAGTACAAAATGAAATTATTAAAGTAATATGACTTACATTTTCCTGACAGGTAATGTACTAAACAGACCTTGTACAGAGCCATATGGTAGAACTGTTTGTTTGTTCGGCTTGTTGATACCACAGGATAGTTTAGCTAACATCTAAAATATCATAAACAAATCAATTCAGCAACAAACAAAAAATATACGATATGTGACTTTAATAATAACTAAATAAACTTAATTCTAACTTAATTTTATAAATCAAACATTTTATTTGTTTATTTGTTTGCTTTCTGCATGCTTAGTAAAAATATGTGACTGTAATGCTTCTTGGTCAATAAACCATTCCTATGGCAATGTAGTAAATTGAAGTAAAACATATTTAAGTATATATTAAAACAGAGAAAGTTCTTAAATCTTTTATTAGCAAGGGCTAAACGCATGACTAACTAATCAATTCAGTTAAAATGGCTCTTTTTCATAATATCACTTTTTTTGTAGGGATGTCAACTCGGTGAAGATTTACTAATCGAGTACTCGTTGGATTTACCAAGCGATACTCGAGTACTTGCTCGGAAAAACATCTGCAAAATGGAAACACATAATCAATTAAAAAAAAAACATCTACAGAAAATGATTACTCAAACAACAGTTTTTGGGAATCGTAAAGAAACACATTTAATGATTAATAAAGGGGTGATGATTAGAACTTACTGATGCCTTTAACCATATTCTGAGGGTCGACACAGGATGCAACGAATTTGTTCATATTTAGAAATATTATCTTGTCAACTTTTTCTTGGACGAGTCGATTTCTCAACTTTGTTACGTAACTAACAGTCCTGGTGATGAAAATATTTGCTCTGATGGTACAGAGGTGGTGGAATGACTAAAGACACGATTAGCTAAAAGTGTAAGCCTCGGAAAGGTGCTCTTTTTCATAGCCTACCTCTGTTTTGAGGAATTTTAAATGACAATTAAATGCAAACATTCGAAACGTATTTTAATTTTGATTAATTTCGATTGATATTTAATTTCCCAGGGGCGCTCTTAATAAAAATATTTTATTCTTTAAGAAGGCACACCATTCTAACAGGAAACCGATTAGTCGAGTATCATTTTGGTATTCGATACTCGGTACTACCGAGCGATACTCGAGTACTCGAGTACTCGTTGACATCCCTACTTTTTTGCCATTTTTTTTTTTTTTGGAAAATGGGAAAAAGGAGGTTGGGGGGAGTATTGGCTTTATCTTTGCAATACTGAAGATTGTTCAATGTCTTTTCTTACCAATATTTCTTTTTTCTTTCTGATAACAAACATTCTAAATTTCAAAGCCATAAAGAGATCATGTAGGATTACTGTCTCAATGATATATACCCACATTTCCTTTCATTCAAAGAACTTTAAAATAAATGTTAAACCTTATTGTGGGCAATACCAGCAGAACATCTGAAGCCAGTCTCTTCATAGACAGCGGCTCTCATTTCCTCACTGATCAATGCTCCAACAGCTAGCTTCTTGTCCTGTATATTGTTAAAATCATCACCTTCATAGACAGAATCTAACCAGGATTCCAAGCCTTCCATCCTACCTGAGAAAAAGTATCAAAACAAATGCTATTATCAAATGACAAGCAAATAAAATTTCCAATGTAATTACATGAATATTTTGAGGTTGACATTAATATGATCTTAAAATTATTTTTGGTAGCTGTAGTCCTTCAACAAACACATTAAAGTCTATGTTGAATACTGTAGTTTCAGAAAAAATTGTGCATTTATTATTACGATTGTTTATCAATGGACACAAATGTGAAATTAATTAATTTGATTTCAGAAAAAGCTGCATACAATTAATACATGTACAATCAAAATTTATATAAATTATGCGAGTATTCACATTTGTATATGGATATTTTCAGTTAATTAGCAAATTGGATTTGAATATATATGTATGTATGGCAATAAAACTTCTACAACACAAAAACCAATCACATTAACCTCCATTTCATACAGCGATAGTTAAAAAATTGTTCTTGCACAGTGAATTACTGTGAAAGAAGGCAAGTACTGACGAAAACATTAATTTAGGAAACTGTCAGATATATTTGTATCTATGGCATATACAGAGATATTTCAGAGTAAATCACTCTCATGTACAAGTGTTCAATATAGAAATTCAACACTAACTTTTTAACCAATTCACCTTGTGTGTACTGAAACAGTAGCATATCCTGCCCCAAAATTATCTATCAAACGGAAAAGCTGACATTTTAACATATTGAATATATGTTAAAAAAAATCTATGTATACCTTCTTTATCAAAGCCTACAATGTGTGTATTCTGTAGCAGTTCTGTCTGTGCTCTTTTGTCCATCCTTCTTTTAACTTCTTCTGTAAGATCTATGTATGCTTCATCAATACTGGCTCTCTCTACACAGTTACTGAACTTGCTCAGAACATTAATCACTTCTTTTCCTCCATCTCTAAACCTTTAATAGATATAAGTGAATATTTAAAATAAAGCTTATCATGACTTTCAGGCTACTAAATAGGCTTTCATATATAGAGTGACTATGCAGACAAAAGATATGTCTTGTAGATTTCAAAACAAAATATGCTTAAATAGAACTTCAGTTTGTGAATTTTTACTGAAGTAAAAACTGCCTGTTATCTTATTGGAAGCAGAAACTCCTTACCTGTTTAGAGCACTGTAGTTCATCAGCCACAAAGCCCACAGTCCCCTTGCTTTAAAATCATTCAGCATATTCATATTCTTTTTGACTAAAAAGCATCATATTCAAAAATACTTATGTACACTTAAAGTCAAGCAATCTGTATACACAGTATCAAATAAATCAAGTTCATGAAGATAGATTAAAAAAGATTTACTTAGTGAGATCTGCTTTTCCTCTGACTTCTGGTACTCTAAAGAAGTGAATGTCTGGACATAATTTCTTAGCATCATCACCCCACATGTTCTTGGTTACACCACAAGCTCTTGCTTCATATCCTACAGCTATTATCCTACAGATTAGAAAAATATACAAACTATAGAAAACTTTTAAGCTATGTCAGTCAATGGATAAAAACTTCTGGCTTGTCCACTCTTGAATGTAAATATGCTGTTTCTTTTGTATTATATAAAGTATTTACAAGTATTGTCTTTTATATATAATCAAATTAGCATTTGTTTTCAACTTTTCTACAACATAGAAAATATTAACTTGAGAGGACATGAGTGTGTTACCCATAGTGAATGGTAAGGGAAAGTCAAATCCACATGATTTGTTTCTGTTCTGATTATTATATATCCTATTTAAGTTCAAGACATAGGTTATTATCAATTTTGTTGGATATTTCTAAATTTTTACAGCAACAGGTTAATCCTTTGTTCTATGTGGTTGACTGGAAGTTTGCTTTCACTTCAAAGACAAATTTTGAAGAATCATTTTTATTCCTATAGTTTGCTAATGTAGGCCTGTTACAAGAAATTTGTCAAATTTTTTTATATATCATCATCTTTAAGTTAGGCCCTCATTTCACCAAAATTGATCTTCATATACACTTAATTCTTCATGATACACAAGTGATTCGTATGAGGTTTTGATCATGAAGTTCCAAATTAAAGTACCTGCACCTACCATGGACTTTACGCATTGACGTCGTGGCAAAATATGACGTCATAAATATATGAATGAAAACTCTCAAGCTGAAGATTATTTTGTTACCTGTACACTTTAATTTCGAATAATACCTCATTAAAATAAACTTTAAGGATAATTGTTATTTCATTTTATATTCTCTTGGATTAATCAAAAACATTTATGGATTTTAGAAAAAAATCAATATGGCGGCTAACTCATTAGTTACTTTATGTCAATTGTACATTTGATGGTAAATAATAGCCAATAAACAAAAATTGTGAATGTTTGACTTAGAATAATAAGGATTAAACACATTTTTCTAGAGGTTATTGATGTATAAACTGGATTGCTTACTCACAAACTTTACAAAACTTATTCAGTTTGTGAGTTCATTGCCCAGTTTACATGGCAATAACCTCTAGAAAAATCTGTTTAATCCTATAGTAAACAAAGTGAATGGTGTAACTAAGAGTCTTTTCATATGGCTATACTGTCAGTAAAAGTGTGTACACGGAAACTATAAACAGACTTTATAATCAGCAGAAAACTTTCCTACCCTCCACCTTTCCATTTTTTGTATTGAACAACAGCACATGGCTTTCCCTTGTATTCTGGTTGTAATCTTTGTTCAACTTGTACATAGAAACAATCCATATCTACTAAGGCTATAACTCTTTCCATAGTTTGCAATACATGTATATCCTGAGAAAAAAATGAATAACAAATAAATATTTACAGAAAGACATTTCAAGACACCACAACATTAGCAATATAAGTTGATCAAGAAGTTTCAATTACTTCTACTCAAAAGCCATTTTGAAAATTTATCCTTCCTTGTGACAGTTGTGTGTAAAAGATTTCAAGCAGTTATTCCTTAAAATGATAACAAAAATTTCTGATCATTGTTGTTATCATGGAAGTATTATATTGACAGGAACTCCAACAAGCGGATTTCAAACGTTTATAGTGCGATGCAGCAAAAGCGTTAAGTATTTGTTAATTAACTCGACATGTCATATGGATGCATGGGTTCCGATCAAATTTTTGGAACCTCATGATTGATCGTAATTACGGAACATACCGAAATAACAGGATGTGTACTTAATTGTCAAGGAAACGACATTAACCGACCATGTCAGTTTTTCTGGTTTTGCTGCGTAAAAACAAATACAAAGAAATGAAATCTCCGCGACTGTTTTCACAAAAAAAAACAAAATTCTTTAAATGCCGATCCAGAACTAATAAATGCCATTCGTAATAAAAATCTGTCAGACGTCAGAGTAATCTTGGACTAGGTTGAATGTTTAAGGTTTGTTTACAACTTTGGACTTATTATAAAAGGTGTAACAATTCATCTGTCTCGTAACCTGATATTGCTATGTAGAGGTCATCACGTGCGTGTAATTATAAAGCTCTTTTAGTCTTTAAAACATATTTGTTAAATACGTTAATAACATTTTTCAAATTGAGACGATAGAGAAAACAATAAATTTTCTTGTAACATTCGATAAAAATTAACAACCTTAAAACTTAAATTTAAGCTATCCTACACCATCCGGCACACTACACGTGCATCACATTGTTTTCCGCAAACACCCGACTTTAAATACATGTAATTTTTAATATCAATGATTAAAACATATTAAACAAAACTAAAAATAAGCTTGCCCTGTTTCCGAATGCAGTTAATTTTCTTATGTCATTCTGTTAAATATGGACCGATTTTTTCGATCTTTTCAGCTTTTCTCTTTATTTATTGAACAGAAACAGGTGTCGTTATTACTTTGGCGATTCACAAATAACCACGGGAGTTTCTGTGTTTATTTACATTGGTAGGTACATTGTAGATAAGACACTCGATACCAAATCACGTGATAAGACCAGCTTCAGTTAACAGAACAGGCGAAGGCGGCATCGCAGATACCCCACAAAGGAGTTATCACGTACTTGACAAACTGAGTCGGAACCTTTTATTTTCGTCAAGAAATCAGTGGGATGGGAATGTGCTAATTTTTCGTTGGAGTTCCTGTCAATATAATACTTCCATGTTGTTACTAAAGACTGAATGAATGCTTCTCGTAAAGCCATATTAAATTGACAGGACAAACATACATTAACAATATGGAACCATGTCTCACAGCATCACACAAATGCATGCTTTGATCAGCACCATTAAGCATCCCACAGTGTGAACAAATCATCAGCTGTGCATATATACTATTGATATAAGGCAGTGGCAAAATGCAACAGTGATCACACATGTTCTGAATTTCACCAGACTGATAATTGGCAACACGTACATTTACAACCTTGTTTCAGAAAGTGTCAGTGTTCGCCCATGGTCTGTTTCGCACAAGGATTTCCTTACAAATTTATTTGTAGTCCAGGAAAATTTCAGGATAATATATATATATCAAATTTTACAGAGTTTGGTTAATACATGTAGCTATATTTATTTCATAATCTCCGAAAGTGAATTTTTGGATCTTGGGAATCTGGGTGTTAACCACTTGAAAAAATTGGTTCATAAGAGTTGAGAGCAAAATTACCTCTCAAGTCAAGCCTAAAAATGGCTCCAGCATTAAGACATTTGGCAACAGACCACAATTAATTTCCCTATCATTTCTTTATAACGTTTTTTCACATTTAAAAAAAATTAACCTGCAAATTTGCAAAATTTTTGGTATGTGTAATGTACAGTACAAGTCTCACATTATATTCAACTTTTAGGAAAATCCCTTCTGTACATGTCATTAAATTAGCCAAAACCCATCCATACTGGTATGGACAAGTCAAGAGATGTTCCTATAAACTATAAATGTTACCTTTTGCAACTGGCCTAATCACTCATTCCCACTACTGAATAGTTAAAATAACACATCTAAAAATTTATTTCAACTCTCTTCTTTCATTTCCACCCTATAATTAATTGTGGTCTGGGGCCATTGTAGGAATGTGTCACTGCAAAAAACTAAAAAAGCCTTTCAAGATGTCTTAATTTATATAATAATGTGGACAGCAGAGTCGGATTAAGGTTCATCATAACAAATGGACAAAAATGACTGTGTTTAGACCTCAAAAACTACTCTTGAGTACAGACTAACCTGTGCAGTTTGAAAAGTTTTAAGGCCTGGCATCCATTAGATATATAAAAGTTAAATGCATTTTGTGTTTCAGAAAGATTAAATATTTTTTGGATTTTGATGGGCTTTTTTTTTATGTTCCTGCAGAAGGTGTAAAAATAAAGTAAGTTGGGATACAACTTTGAGATGCTCCCTCTCAGGTAACAACAGTATTGTATTGTATTGATTGTCCTTGATTGGCATGAATAGACAGACAATAGATATCTACACAACTATAGGTGAGTTAAAGAGTGTAACTGAGTGGACAGTATCAAATGCAATTCATGTGTTTGTTTATTTTTACACCTTCTGCAGGAACGAAAAAAAATGCCCATCAAAATCCAAAAAAGATTTTAACTTTCTGAAACATAAAATGCATTTAAATTTTATATATCTAGTGGATGCCAGGCCTTAATTTTTTTCCCAACTGCACAGGTTAGTCTGTACTCAGAGTAGTTTTGGAATTGTAAAAACAGCCATTTTTTTCCATATGTTATGATGAACCTTATAGGAAGGGGGAGCTACATTTATGGTCAATCCATTATACCTATACCACCCCAAATTTTGCCTAGTTTTGTGGCCCGTGAACCCCGGTATCGGGTCCGTTCGCGCCCAATACACGTTCGCACCCTACACGTTCGCACCCCACACGTTCGCCCCCCAGGTCCGTTCGCACCCTACACGTTCGCACCCTTTTTTTAATTCAAAAACCTGATAAATTTTTAGATGTTTTGTAAAATATTTTTATTTTCATAAATAAAAATTCGGGAATTTTTAAATGAAATATTGTTTTAAATTGATTTGATGATTAATTATTAAATGTTAATTATGTATGATTACTGCTAATTGGTATTTATACACAGCCTAATATGATGTTATTGTTGAGTGTTTAAAAATCATGATTGTTGTCATGGTTGTTTTAACTTACTTTAAATGTAAATACTGCATGTATTTAGCTTGGTATGAGTAAAACTTTGAAGATTTTAAATAAAAAACATGAAAGATAATTGTTTTTAACAGCTTGGCTCCTTTGATCTCATGTGTGTCAGAATCTCACTTTATTCATAAACAATGAAAAAAAATATTTATAGCAATACACTATCCAAAACATGATTACGAATTATTCAACACATAAAAAAAAAACGTTGTCAGAATCCCATTTCCTTACGAAACAATAAAAAATAAATATTTATAGCAATACACTAACCAAAACATGATTAAGATTTTATCAACACCTAAAGAAACGTTGTCAGAATCTCACTTTATTTAGAAACAATGAAAAAAATTATTTATATATATATATAGATATAGATATATAGAGAGCAATACACTTACCTAAACATGATTAAAAATTATTCAACACAAAAATAAAATACTGGTCGTCAGAATCTCACTTTATTTAAAAACAATGAAAAAAAAAAGTTTATAGCAATACATTTACCATGACACAAAAAAAAACCTTGTCAGAATCTCACTTTATTTAGAAACAATGAAAAAATATATATTTATAGCAATACACTTACCAAAACTCGTTTACAAATTATTAAACACAAAACCAATAAGAATTGGGCGCGAACGTGTAGGGTGCGAACGGACTTTGGGTGCGAACGTGTAGGGTGCGAAAGTGAAAGGGGGGCGAACGTGCATGGGGGCGAACGTGATTGGGCGCGAACGGACCCGGATTCGTGAACCCCCCCCCCCTTTTTTTTTTAGAATCCTGGATCCGCATCAGGACTGAGTGAACAGACTGTGTGGAAGGTAGAGTAAACCGTAAACGGAATCAGGACGTACATGCAATCAGGGCATATGACCTGTTACCATCTTCCATTGGGGGTAAGCTAAAAATCTGGAAAAGCACATTAAAAAAAGTACGAAGTAATCCAGAAACACTATGGATATTTGTTTACTGTACGTTTCACGGGCACTTGTTTCATGCAATGGTAACGTCTCTTTTTATTTTCATTGATCAAATCTTGACGGTCACGATGGGATGAACTTACATATACATCTGCTTTGGATATATTAAATGAGTGTTCTTTCTTAAATTTCCAAATTATGTAAACTCCCGCTATATTAACTGGTTCCTAATTTTGAGAAACATGTGTAGAGTCAAGGAATGAGAAAGAGAAGTTACAATACCAGATAACATAGAAATATCCCTCCACATTGAAGAGCTATTTTTAGAAGGATAAATCCCAAAGAAAAAGTCATAAAATGTTTAAAACATGCAGAAGCAGAATGCATAAACTATGGTGCCATGACAAGCATAACAGTCTTAACTTTGTCTTCCAGGTTATAAAATATCAAACAAACAAATTCATAGATTTAATTAATAATTAAGACTAAGTCCTTTAGAATGTATGTGCCTGTCCCAAGTCAGGAGCCTGTAATTCAGTGGTTGTTGTTTGTTTATGTGTTACATATTTGTTTTTTGTTCATTTTTTGTACATAAATTAGGCCGTTAGTTTTCTCGTTTAAATTGTTTTACTTTGTCATTTCGGGGCCTTTTATAGCTGACTGTGCGCTATGGGCTTTGCTCATTGTTGAAGAACGTACGGTGTACAGAGGCCAAGTAATTATAAATTCCAATTAGATGCAAACATATAAATGGCAAAATATAGGCCAAAGACAAAAATACATAGATCAGCAAAACTGTGGTACTCCAAAATTTGCCCAAACCAGTGTATAGAAGTAGTGTGTTTGATGTGTTAAGAGGATGTTGTGAAGGCTGCAGTAAAGGCCTGCATTACCTGATGATGGTATGATAGAGATGGGTCAATATATGATTTGTATGCACCGCTACGCCAGTTGCCTTGTGCTTGTATGACCTCACTAGGGAGGCCACATTCCAAGGCAAAGGAAGCCAGTCACCCCTGTGAAAACTATGACCAGAATATTGGTTGCAATCAAAACCAAGATGATGCAAAGCCCGCCTTAAGCGACATAAAAAGGCTGGATATGTCAGTGGGGTTACTAAATTTTTGTGTAAATAGATAAAAGCAGGGGAAGGGGTTGTGGTCTGAGGGACCAGATTATGTAAAAATAATAATGCACCTGCAGGACAAAATGGGGAATCCTTTGTCTGGGGAAGGGGGATCTCTAGTACCCTTTGAGCATACTAAATGGTCTTGGTCTTGTGGATTCTCAAAATAACACCTTTCGGTTGGAAAATAATATCCTGTCTGCTCAAATGAACCTTTAAGGATCAAATTGTGATTGTGAAGTGACTAATTAGTAATAGGTTGGATTTTCTTAGAAATGAGAAAAAAGCAACCAAACAAGCAACCCAGAAGGCCAAGTCCTCAGAACAAGAAAGGTTAAAAGGTAAGATTTTTTGCTATGAAATACAGTTCTCGACAGTTTGAACCAAATAGATGGCCATGGATAGTAAGCAAAATATTCAATATTTCATTTTGATAAAATTTGCCTGAAAATGAAAAACAAATATGATGTACAGCAACAAAGGATAACCACTGAATTACAGGCTTCTGACTTGGGACAGGCACATACAGAATGTGGTGGGGTTATAGTTTGTTGGCGGCAAACATCCCCCTTACCTGGGACAGTGGTGCAACAGTACAACATAAGAACAAACTATAAAAATCATTTGAAAAGAGCTTAACTCATCAGATCGGTACAAAGAAGAAAAACATCTAACAAAAACACAGACCAAACATGGCAGGGTATTTAAAGGCTTTTCTTCAAAACAACATAGTGCAACACAGGTCCATATGTGGTATTGGTTGTGTTTTTTTCTGGATTTTACACTTATTCTCATTGCATTTTAAGTACATATTAATAAGTTAGTTTTAGAAATACTAATTTGTGGTTGATTATACATAATAGTACACATATAGTCTTACTGGATTTGATTTATCACTATAAATATGGTGCAATTTTCACAAAAAAATGATTTTTGGGGGGTCTTTATTTCAACAGCACCTCAAATTAAGGGAGAAATAATCTTTTCTTTATAATGATACAGAATATTTGGGAAATTGTTATTTCTGCATCTAATTAATTTAGTAAAAAAAAGATTGAAATTATCAGAAGTACGTTTACAAATATGATTTGATGAAAAATTTAAAAAGGTTTTAAACGAAAAATCGTCAGTGAGTGGCCTCCCCTGATACTTCAAACAAATTTTGTGCAAATCATAATATTATTCAATCTATTAGATTTTTTATAGAAAGATAACCATATAAGCATTCCCTTTGTCCTGTTTTTTTTCCAATGCACATAATTTTCCAGAAAATTCTCTTTATTTTTTTAAAGTTTAGTTTGATTTGAATTGAGTATAAGTCAAGGAAAGAACAAAAAATTGGATTAAAATACAAGTTGTGAGATGTGGTATAATTCCTAATGAGACAACTATGCACCAGAGACCAAATATGTGAAATGATTCATATGTATTGTATTGTGACCATGGCATTTTCTCAGTACTGATAGGCCTAAAAGAAAAATATCTGTTTCAACTAGACCTACCTACCCTATTGTTTAGTACTTTCCTAAAAATGTTACGTTATTTTTTAACAAGCACTTTTAATGTCAGACTGTATCCCCAGTTTAAACCTGTCTAAACCTTTTTGAAAAATTTTTGGTCCCAGTTAGTAATGTACAGTATACATTTTTGTCCCCCTCGCAATGCATTTTGGGGAACATAGAAATAACGGGCGTCCGTCTGTCAGGTCTTGTTAGTGGTCTCACATGTACAATTCTTGCCAGATTTTTATAAAACTTGTATCATAGATTTGTATCAGCAATGTCTCAGACGAGTTCGAAAATCAGTGTAGATCAACTATTTTAAAAGAGTTGTGCCCTTGGAAACATTAATTATATGGAAAATTGCATAGTAAGCACACTCATGTGTGCAATTCTTGCCAGATTTTTATGAAACTTATATTGTAGGTTTATTTTAGCAATATCTCGGACGGGTTCGAAAATCAGTGCCGATCAACTATTTTGAAAAGAGTTATGCCCCTTGATAACATTAATTATATGGAAAATTGCATCGTTAGCGCTCTCATGTGTACAATTCTTGCCAGATTTTTATAACACTTATACTGTAGGTTTATATCAGCAATGTCTCTGATGAATTCGAAAATCAGTGCTGATCAACTATTTTTAAAAGAGTTATGCCCTTTGGAAACATTAATTATATGGTAAATTGCATCGGTCGCGCTCTCATGTGTACAATTCTAGCCTTTTTTTATGAAACTTATATTGTAGGTTTATATCAGTAATGTCCCAAACGAGTTTGAATACTAGTGCTGATCGTCTATTTTTAAAGGGGGCCTCGGTGGCCAAGTGGTCTAAGTAGTTACTACTGTAATTACTAGCCAGTCAACACTGAGGTTGTGAGTTCGAACCCCGCTCGTGCGGGTGCACTCGACTGCAATCTTAATTGACTAGGATTGTCAGTTTTCCTATCGAAGGTCGGTGGTTTTCTCCGGGCACTCCGGCTTCCTCCACCAATAAAAACTGGCCGCCACGAAACTGCCCAAAAGCGGTGCTTAAAAGTGGCGTTAAAACACAAAAAAAAAAAAAAAAATCAAATCAAATCTATTTTTAATAGAGTTATGCCCCTTGGAAAATTTAATTATATGGAAAATTGTATTGTTAGCGCTTTCATCTGTACAATTCTTGCCAGATTTTTATGAAACTTATATTGTAGTTATATATCAGTAATTTCTCGGACGAGTTCAACAATCAGTGCTGATCAACTATTTTTAAAGAGTTATGCCCTTAGAAACATTAATTGTATTGAAAATTGCATTGTAAGCACTCTAATGTGGACAATTCTTGCTAGTTTTTTATGAAACTTATATTGTAGGTTTATATCAGCAATGTCTTGGACAAGGTCAAAAATCAGTGCTGATCATCTATTTTTAAAAGAGTTATGCCCCTTGGAAACATTAATTACATGGAAAATTGAATCGTGGGCGCTCTCATGTGTACAATTCTTGCCAGATTTTTATTAAACTCATATTTTAGGTTTATATCAGCAATGTCTTGGATGAGTTCGAAAACCAGTGCCGATCACATATTTTTAAAAGAGTTATGTCCCTTTGAAATATAAATTATATGGAGGAAATTTTTATTGTAAGTGCTCTCACATGTACGATTTTTGCCAGATTTTTATCAAATTCACATCAAAGGTATATAACAGCAATGTTTTGGACAATTTTGAAAATAAGTGCCAATCAAATATTTTTAATGAGTTCCCCTTGGAAATATTGAATATATTGGAAATTGCTCTCAAGTCATTAACTCTCTAATAAGATCATTTTAAAAAGTTTTAAAGAACCAAAAACAAATTTTCTTTTAGTTATTGCCCTTGGACAGAACAGATAAAATATGTGCAACACAGGGGACATTGGAACTCTGTTGTAGCCACTATACAATATAATGAAACAGTTTCCTTAGTATATAGTTTTGCTATATTAAGGCTGCATATATCTCTATGTAAGCTGTTTATTGTATGATCTGTGATTTTATGTTTCAGTTGTTTATCACATATTTGTTGATAATTATCATTCAGGAGTTATGTCTCTTTGATAGATGAATTTTGGTTTAGGTATTTCGATAGTAATTTATTTACAGTTTGACCAAATCTTGGTCTCCTGAAATTTTTCTGTTAAATAGTAATTCCCCTTTGTAAATTAAAATTTGGATGTTAGTAGGTTTCTAGATTGGAAAAAAGATAATGGATGACAAAATCTTTAGGAATTTTAAACAACATCATGGGCAATGAAATACATGTTTGATTTTTTAAAGATTTGAATTAACTGTTAAAGATTATTTTTATCTGAATATTTATTCAATGATAATTAAAGTACTGTTTTACAAAATCTTTTAACTTTTTTTATTTTTGCACAGTAAGGGACCTGACCGTAAAATACATAATATTGCAAAATTTAGTATAATCATTCAAGAGTTTTTTCTTTTATTATGTGAAAAAATTGAAATTTTTTGTAGGTTTCTGTATGATAATTATGAGAATTAGTCTGTCTTATTTTTGTACTCCTGGAAATTTTTCAGAAAAATAGTAACTGTTGTCACTTTCTCCATCAGTCT